GATGCATCTAAGGATGGGACTTCAGCTCGAACAATCAAGTCCCGTAGATTTCGAGGGCGCCTGTAAGCCAATGTGGGGCCGTTGGGGATGGCGCCTGGATTTTTTTACCATTTCTGGTCCCTCCCCTGTTCATACCAGACCCCTTGTGGTTTGCCATCTCCCTTTGTTTCTTTGTTCTCTCATCCACCCTCCCCTGCATCTTTCCACACCTTTCCCACCTAATCCTCCTTTTGTGTTTCTTCTTTCATCCCTGCATGTTTGTGTGCACCCCCTTGTTAATGTATGTGCCTCTGTCATTTCTGTTTTAGCCTCTGAAGAAGAACTTGCTAAGTTCGCAACGTCAGGCCACATTAATTTTTAGATTTGTTACTTACGTAATTTTTATGATGCCCCCTGCAATTTCTAAAGTACATAGAAGGTTATCTAGATTGTTTGTACACATGATCATGTAGGTCTCAGGAATGCTTAGGAAACAACTGAACAAAATATATTGCTTTGCTGTACCACTTAGTGTACCCTCTCATATCACAAATTTGCATTCAATTGTAATATGTACCCCGTTAGTGTGGAAATGCACATGTAAACAGATTTGAAATAATGCATCAACCGACAAGAGCCTACTGTATTAAACGTGAAAAGTAAAATAAAATAAAGAAATGATTGTAGTCCTACTTACAATTACCGATGAGAATTACATCACGACCAGAATGGTGCTAGAGACCGCCTATCATAACCGTTTCCCGCCGAATAATCACGTGCCCCTGAAATTGCCAATGGTCACAGAGATTGCTGTTGGTTGCCAAGCGCAATGATAAACAAACCCACGTGATGCTAATGGCACGACGTCAATTGGATTAGGATTGCATGACGTGTTTTGTTTATTTCTCAAAATGCATAGTTCGGGTGAATTGGCACATGCGCAAACGAAAACGTTTATTTTGTGTTAATACAATAAATAATTATTTAATCATTTAGTGAGCGTAGTGAGCGGAACATAATGGACTGATTTCCAGACGCCGGGGGTTTGCAACAAATCTGTTTGATTATAACAAATATGGGGCTTTATTTGTCGTCGAAGAAGCCGCGAATCACTGTCCAACCCAAGTAAAATTAATTGCAGCTTCTTATCACGGGAATTGGGGCTCATACCATTTGTTTACTGGGCACTAGTAATTACATACCAAAGATGAATTAATATACATAGCACCGTGTTTATTATAAGTTGCGAAGATCGGCAGGCAGGGTCTTATTATAAACCACGCCCTCATTATCTGACACAACTCTTCTCTTTTAATTTCCACAATTTTCTTTGGTATAAGGAAAAAAAGAGGCTTAAATCATCAATGACAGAATGTGTAAGTTTATAAACATCTCATGTAAATGAAAGATTGATGGGCCTTTAATCAACTGCTTAAATCAAGTGAAAAACTTCTTTTTCAGAATTTATAGTTAAAAATCCACCAATTACCCTCTTCAGCAAGTGACCCCCTCCCCCCCCCCCCCCCCAAAAAAACCCTCAGCCACCTGCGCTTTGAACCTTGTTTACGCCATTAGTTACTTCTGACGCTTTGACATCGTGACGAAAATGGATAGCCTTTTGACATAGGGGCCTATACAAACACACCCGACAGAACTAAAAATGCAGAGATTGCTCGATAGTCAATTGCGAGGGCAAGGTTCAGAACATTGACGGTTCCCAGTAAGTAAACATTTGTCAGTATGACCCGCGTAGTAGAGCCCATTTAATGGGGCTTTGTACCTCGTTGGGAATTCAAATTGTATTTTAGTGTGTGAATACAGTACTTTTTTGTGGGGAGACCTCTCCATATTTTTCGGGTTTTCTTGTCATTTCAATTTTTCATCACCACGAACTGACACACAGTTGTGCGTCAGTGCGCGGCACGCGCTAGAACCATATAGATATAGAAAATTGTAAGTCAAATCCAGGTTATTTTCGCTTTCACGAACTGACACTGATCTAAATTCACCAGTTATATCATTACTGAATTAAATTTCTGTATAATCACACAAGTATAAGAGTGGATTAAATTCATGTCAAACCTTTCAAAACGTTTTTCCCCGTACTGTATTGCTACAACTGCTCTTTTTTTCCCCGTACTGTATTGCTACAACATGCTATGGGTGTCAGCATGGTGTCAGTGACGAAAATTGTATCCATGTTGGGATAAGTTTTTCCTTTTAAGACACGTTTTCCTATTTTTACCCCTATGGTAAACGTGGGTATTTGGAGGAACACATCTCAGGGTGACAGTTTTTATTTTTCGGTTCTTTCCCAGACTTGATTTTATTTTCTTATTCTTATTCTTAATGTCCAAATGTTAAAATAAATTTATTTTAATAAATTATCATCACTTTTATACAGAAAATTAGATAGCACTCGGATGTGATGTTTGTGACATCGTTATGTAATGAGAAGAATCATGTGGAAGTAAGAGGGGGTAAGACTCACTTTTTAAACAAATCGAAAAGTGCCAAACGGTTTAGATTAACAGTTGGCTGCATATGAACAGTATATACAACAATTAGTCCTTCAAAACTACACACAACAACGTTTTAAAGAAATGTTGGCAACTTATATTGTCCAAACAAGCTGTTCAACATGAAAAACAAGTAAAAGTAGAACTTTATCCAAGAAAACGAAAACAGTTTGATATACATTTGTACACAAAGCTATGAAGACACTACTGTTATTCCTTGAATGGAATTGTGCTTCGGCTCATGCGAGAATTTTCTCCCTTTTACTGCTACAAAGGAGGTGGAAAGTCATAAATTTGTCATACCTACATAGCAAGAAGGCTGTGTAAATGTACTTAAATGTCATAAAAATCCTATTGCATGTTTCCTTTAAATGTGTCATGCTCATTCCCTTGAAAACCCAACATTCCTGACAGGACGTAAGTACAACAACTAGGCCTGCTGCATTGTCCATGCAATAGTAATATAACCTCTCAATTATTTTAGTGTCGTCATTTTGGAGATAGATTCTAATCTCTGGTTAATACAGGGTCGATTCACCCTCAGTTAAAGGCCTGATATTTGTATAAAAGAATACCCCATCAATCTTAAAAGTGGAGAGGAGTATGATGGTGGATGGAAGGGTGGTTGAGTGAAGGCGTGCTGAAGGCATATCTTGCTGGGGGGGGGGGATCCCGGGGAGCTTGCCCCTGGGAAATTTCTTCAGCATTATAAAGCCATTCGTAAAAAAATTCTTTAAAAAAGCTTTAGCATTCTATTTAAGTTTTTGGGCCCATTTCACAAGTATCATATTCATAACATTAGTCAGCGATTGATTGTGTTTGAGGGTTGCGACCCCCCCCCTCTAAATCACCTATAGCTAAGTAGAACTGGATTATAATAATAATTACCTTTTGCGGAATACTTTTATGCCAACATGGATCCTATTACGTGGATTGACAGTTTATGGTCAGAATGGTAATATATATTATTAACAATAAATCAAAATAGCGACATGCTCTAAAATGATTATGAGTTTTCGATTTCTATTATGTGCAATACACATTAATAATGGCAACCTGTACACAAAATGATAATAATTTTTCGTTCCTCTTGAGTAAAATACTCATTCATATTTACGACCTGTTCAAAAAATAACAGCTTTTCAATTTCTATTTTATGTAAATACACGCCAATAAAATCAACATATACAAAATCTACACACACGAAATACTTCCAATTTGCATAATTGAAAATATTTACATTCAGCTAATATTACATTGTACAAATCTTAAAGTCGCTTTTCTGGATTACATTTTTAATGTGGTATCCACTTTAAAAAAAAAAACCTTATCACCGGCAAGCAAATGAAAATGAATATTTCAGTATTCATAAGATCAGACATTACATCCATTCGTGAAACACAATTTTACTTCCTACACAGGATCACCTTCACCATCGTCGCTGGTTTCTGAAGAGACGTACGATCTGGTATCCAAGGCGCAAGCTACAGAATAACATTTATACTCTGGAGAATTGTACCAGTCCAACATCCTCGTCTTCGATGCATCCTTTTGTTTGTCGAGTTTCATCTTTAGATTTACCTGCATTAATAACAATCATTATAATTATTTTGAAGGAACGTCGGTCACATTCATTGTTAACACAAATGCACGGTCGGGACCAATGATATATGCTCACTATATATATAAACCAAAATGTATACTAATTAACGGAGTTTGTATAAACGAGCGTCAACTGTACTTACAATAAGGATAATGAGGATGGCGATGAATAAGATTGTCATTACGACTTCCAGCACGTTCACAGTGACGGGTTGCCCAGCACGTTTGCGGGTAGTTGGTGGCACTTTATGAGCCGAAACAAGCGTTGTCTCTGAAAGAAAATCGAGTTGCTATAATCATGTACAATATCTGACTCTATTAAGTTGATTTCTGACCTGATTCACTTGCTATCAGCATTGATTCGAGTGAGATATGACTGCATTCAATTGATTTTTGACTTGATACAATTGATTTCTGACTTGATTCGATTGAGATGTGACTTGATTCAATTGAATTATGACTTGATTCAATTGATATCTGACTTGATTCAATTGATATCTGACTTGATTCAATTGATATCTGACTTGATTCAATTGGTATCTGACTTGATTCGATTGATAGCTGACTTGATTCGATTGATATCTGACTTGATTCGATTGATATCTGACTTGATTCAATTGATATCTGACTTGATTCAATTGACATCTGACTTGATTCGATTGAGATGTGACTTGATTCAATTGATTTGTGACTTGATTCGATAGATATGTGACTTGATTCAATCGGTGTTTGACTTGATTCAATTAGTATCAGAATTGGTTCCCCGAGTTTCATTGCTACCCATTTGACGTCACGTCGAGGGAGTTCTTTGTTTAACTGCGATGGGTGATACAAGAGAGGATTAATTCTCAACCAAATTGACAGTTAATCACCTCAAGAAATGGTTCCGACATGTCATTGCTACTTACGTGGATTATTGGAGAACTGAACTTCATTGTAAGTTGTGTCATGAGTTACCGTTGTGGGGTGAGTTGCCGTTGTGGGGTGAGTTGCCGTTGTGGGGTGAGTTGCCGTTGTGGGGTGAGTTTTGGTAAGGTACACCCTTGTGCGAGTACTGTTCCCTACAGCGACACCCACTGCCTCGCACTCGTAGACTTCCTCATCGTCAACTCTTGTCAAGTGGACTGATGCTGAAGTTGAAGAGGTGTTGTTTCTCAAAGACGACCCTGATTAATTGATTTGAAATCAATCATATTTGTGTTGACAAAATTAACTTAGTAACCATACAAATTGTTCTATAAAGCAAAACGCACTTCAGTCAAAGAGGGAAAACGTACAAGCTTTGAGGAGCTCTTTTATATGCCGATTTGCTCTTTTGCTTATCTCATCAATGGTACTCAGATTAAACAAACTCTTACAACAAATTAACAACTTGACTACATGGTGAGTAAAAAAAAACTGAAACCAAATGTCGGGACTACTGTTTCAGTGAAGTTCTGCATATAGCACTTTTAAAATCTGGGATATGAAAGCCCAATTCATAAGGTTTTGGTTAGTACAAGAATCATTCAAATGACTCATGTAATTTTTTACTTACGGAATTTTAAACACAACCACCGTCTTAAAGCTTAAAGTTCTATCCACGGCTCTTTGAGCAAAACGAAAACAAATAGGGATGTGTTTGAGTTGTTTATTTTTTTTCTGCGAAAGAATTCACCCCTTTTTGTACCAACTCCGCAAGGCAAGCATGACAGGGCATACTGTCGGGAAAGAAACGTCCAACCTCTGGGGAAACCTGAAATTGGTATTGCATGCCCTTCTGGTTAAACCACCTTAGCACATTATAACAGAAACAGTAAAACGAAACAGCAATACTCTGCACGATGTTCAAGTTGTTTTTCCCTCGCTCATCAACAAACTGTGTTTTTTGTTGTTCTCTTATTGCATTTTCAAATTCATTCCGATCTCTCCCCCTCCCCCTATTTTAATTTTTGGAAGGGCGTCTTCAACCCTTAAGAAAATGGGGTTTTGTTTTGCTCAAAAAGATCTGTCTAGCGAGTAGGCCTAGACTGGCTCCCGGTCCGTACATTATCGATACTGACTGTTGGGCGGAAACCAGCCTTCCCTGCGCCTTATTATCGGACTGCCACTAAGCAGTTCGCAATTTGCAGTCTAACGATTCCATAAAAACTAAAACGTGGGCCGATTTTGTTTTCTGTCGATATCAAAAAAGGGAATACTTTTGTTATTGCTAAGACAAAAGTTATTTCGAAAAGGATAATACTTTTTAGTAATAAAACTTGAAAAAAAGAACTGGGAATGCAATCTTCCGAAAAACGCTGCTTACCCGTGTAGGCCGGTAGAACTACAGGCCTGACAGTTCTGTAGGCGCTGAGTTCCGTCTGTCCGCCAAGAAACAGATGGATCCATCTCAATTGCACGGCAGGTTTGACCTGCTCCATGACGCAGGTCAGGTAATGCACCGTGCTGTCGTGTCGTACTCTCACCTCACACGTGTCTGCGTCGTGGTCTTGATTGCAGCCGATGACTGTAGGATATGGACGACTTGGGGAGACTGTAGGAAGAGTTATAAAAAAAGATGTTAACGTGGCTGTAAACCCATGAGAAAATTCAATTTTTGTAGTGAGAAGTCCTTATAGTCTTGAGTGAGACTGTTTCGAAGTTTTGCTTTTAAGATTTGATTCGCCGTGACATTTTTTGGGGGTTAAATTAAAGCTTAATAGATAGGGAAATTGAAACCAAAGAGTAATGTATGAGAGTACAAGGTTGTTCATTAGCCAAGGCTTGTATGTGGAATAGCCTGGACAAATTATACAATTATAGATGTAGGCCTACAAAATATGCACTTATAATGTGACGTTTTGTGACACGTGATGACGTCATAACGCTGTCAATGTTCGGCAAAATCGTCAGGTGCTGGGGTATGAGTATGCCAAGGGACTATAGAGGCAATCGGATGACTGTAAGTGCCCAAAGTGTCGGGCACGATGAAAACGTGTACAAATGCTATGGCAGGAGTCTGAAAAATAAAATAACAAAGGCTGTTTTGCTAAAAAAAAAAAACCAATCAAAACCAAACAATCTTAAGAACATTTAGGGTGACGTCACGTGCGAAGGGTCTAGCCCCCTCTAAAATATGGGATCTAGAACCGCGCCTGGTTGCATGATCATGAAATCATTATTATCGTGCACTCACCCTTGTCACAGACCTCTACGCTTCCTGATTCTACCTCTTTCGAACGCGGTTTGACCTGGAAGTAGTAGGTTCCCTCATTGGAGGCGGTGACGTTCTCAATGACCAGACTGAAGTCATTGTCGATATCATAGACGCCCTCTGGGATCCCGTTTTGGGGAGCCACCCTTCCGAAGAAGTTCGAGATCAGCAGGGATGCGTCGCTTGTTGAACCAAAGTACCAGTACATCGCTAAGATGTCTGAACTGGGGATTTGGCAGGATTCTACGAGAGGACAATGAACGATCCCGCGTTGGCCTCGTTCCAAGAACACGGTTCCATCAGTGTTCATGCACGCTCGGACGAGTACACCTGTACCAAATGAACGAGAAAATATTTCTGATTTTATTACATCTTCTAAAAAAATCTATTCAAAGAAGTATTACTGCAGCAAAACAATTCCTTGTCATTTTTGTTTAAATCAAGTCCGACAACATTGTATTGTTCGTGATTAGTAACGGTAATTTAAAGAAGGCCTACGGACCAAAATACCGTCAGAATTCCCTCATGATTGTAAGTGAATGCATATACATCATTTTCAGGAGAAATCATTGCAGCAGTTCACAAAGCGTGGTTCAATGATTCGTCCCCGAGATGTAGTTAGGATTTCCCGAATGGTGCATTTGCCCGTAAATGTATTTAAAGATCAATTCCTCGTGCTGTGTTTTTTTTTAATTAACTCTCATTTATTTTACATTTCACAGTTCATTAAATACAGCTAAATATAGAATAACAGTTAGTGTTTACTCAAACAAGTGTACATGTATATAAAATATTATCTTGAAATCAACAAAGGTGAAAATGGAGGCATGTCCCGGTAAGCGGTTGCTTGAGGTGGGGATGCCATACAAGACAAAACGAACAGACGGACAGCAACAGACAAAAACATTCTGACTAACACTTGTAAGAATAGCACTTCGAAAAACTAGATTTTTTTTTCAAGCTCTAGTTTCCAAGCAATTCAAAAAGTTATTCACTTTTAATTTGTCATTGAACAAAAATCCACCGATGTTCTATGATTTGTCTCCCATGATGTAATTAGGTTTTCTCGCACGGTATTTGTCAGTAATTCACAACCGGTCAACTTCGGCATTTGCCGTCCAACCCACAAAAAGTGTAGGACTTTAACGATCAATTTACCTGTAATTTCGTTTTAAAAAATACAAAGTTTACAGTAACAATGCATGCATCCCGATCACATCATCAGTCCGCAAAAGATATAAATTTGTAGGTACTTACAGCATAACAGCAATGATATTGATACCCACTGCATTTTGACTCGCCTCGTCAGTTTTGCCGTCTCTATAGCGGAAGCAAAGTTGCAAACTTGGAATTAACTATCGCATTTGTTCAAAACATTTTTGTCGTTGTATATATGGTGCCTTAATTAATGTTTATCTTTCTCGGAACCCTCTTATATGAATTTTGAATGAGCAGCAAAGCTAAGGTTTTTTAAGCTTAGCTATTGTGGAACATTAAGGGAACTTTTACGTTTGAATTCTTGCCATGAATAAAGGCGATCAATTTAGATGATTTATTGAAATCCATTTAGACACTTTTGCAAGTGATGAAGTAGACCTAAGGTTCCGTTTAATGACTATTTTCCTGTTTATTTTCCAGTTTAGCCACTTTATAGCATTACCCCTTGCATTCAGCTACCAGCATAGGCCTTTTTTTTTATAGGCCTACTGTATCAAACATAAAAACTAAAATTAGAAAACGACACTTGTCATAAAATGGAATTTGCGTCGGGTGATGTAAATTCAATATTGTGTTTTGCCCTTCACAGACGTATCCTTAAAAACGCTGTAGACTCAGTGTTGCCCCGGACCCGGGTGCTTGCGAAAACATGTCCCCGGGAAGCTTGGTAGACGAGTGGTAAGACATCCGCGTAGTTAGCAGGAGGTCGTGGGTTCGCGTCCAACCCGATTGTTTTTTTTCTTCTCACAATCACTCGGGGGCAACACAGTTATACAGTGTTCATAAAAATACGAAGGTATTGAATATAATAGGCGTGTTACTTACAATTACCGATCCGAAGTAGAATAGTTAGTACAACGTCTTTCTGTAAAAGAGGTGTTATAGAACTTGACTTCAAGTTTCGATGTTGGAAAAAATCAAAAGGACGCTTACGAACGCCTTTGAGAGGGAGACGAATGTTAACGAATTGGGTAGCTGACTAGCTCTGATTACGGTCTGCGCTCAAAATAATCACTGGGACCCTGGGCTGGCTTTAAATGGAAATGACAACATCGAGAGATTGCCGAATCAGTGATGGAAGTTTAAAAATCATGCTAATGTAACATGCTTGACACTTACATTATGCCTAGCAGCAGAAAGCTCCACATTTTTGCAAGATAAATAAATAATATTGACAATCCCGGCTCAGTGGCTTGAGCATAGTGGATTGGTCTATTCTGGACGCAGGGGTTTCCAACCTTTGATTAATAGATAATTTTTCATTATATTGTTTCTTTTTCAAACTTAAGGTTCGTCTCCGCTTTGGCAACATCTCTAACTCAAGAATCATTATGAAGCTTTATTAATAGCCTAATGCCCAAACCAGGGATTTGATGCTGCTTGAAGCTGACAGTTTCAATAAAACCTGTCAAAAGAAAGGAAACGGGAATGAGTAAGCCTACAGAATCGTTATCTTCAGGCATTCTCAGATTTAATTATATACCCCCTGGATCTGCCAGTGTAATGTTCGATTTAAATGACCTCCTTTTAAATAATTAATCATAAACAAAGTCCTGCCATTGATACGGTACCTGGTTTTCCCCTGCATTTCGCAATACCGCTAGATAAAAAAATATTGTAACGCACCTATGATGACATCATGTCTACATATATTTCTCCACTGAAAACACCAACATATTTTTTACTTCCATACCCCATTCAAAGTATCATTTAAGAATCGTATATATTTCCCAAGCGAGCAAATTCATACCAGGGCCACTCCCATCCTCTGTTTGGTTGGTGGAAGGGAAGGGGGAGGGGTTATCGTCTGTTGGCCAAAGGGGGCCATGGCCCCCCCCCAAAAAAAAGAAAGAAACCATTTGTTTTTATGTGACGTCGCAATAAAGGCAGGCAATGGGTATATCACCATCTTTTCCTCATAAAAAACCCCAAAAAACATTGGTTAAAGTGGCGAGAAGTTGCCTCAGATCGCACCACAGAGCATCTATATCCAACAAATTTACGGGACCCTTAAGCGGGCCCCGAACCCCACGCCGTAATTTGTTTAACCCACTTTTTTGGGGGACCAAATTTTTTGGCCCCCCCCAAAAAAAAACCCCATTGTCTTCTGGATCCGTCCTCGGTCTTCCCAAGTTCTTAGCGAAGCCGCCAGGGTTGGATGCACTCCCCATTCCTCTCCCTTGCACAAACTGTTCGCATGCACAATCAGAAGAAATTTGGAAACGTTAATTAAGGTAACGTTACTTATACAACTTACTTAATCCTGAAGAAATTTTGATCAATAATAATGCGAATGCGGCCTGTTTTGAATACCATCATCATTCATTTGAAAAATGCTTGACTAACAGTGTTGGGTTGTCAGAGCGAGTGTGGAATGAGAAGAAACAATTTGGTATAAATAATGCATTGTAAAATGACATAATTTGTAAGATTGGAATTCCTAGCTGCACCGGATTTCATAGAAATCCAAATTTCATGTGACACTGGATATTGAATAAGTGTATCTTGCAATCCACTACAAAATCAAAAGGAGAATTATTTCAAAATGTCAAACCCATGTAAACATTAACAATCATAAGTATTTTCTTTCAATTTGCCCAATCGCAGGTATCATTAACGAAGGACTAAAATCATAAATTAAGTAATGTATAAGAAAGGAATTCTCCTTTAAATAAAAATGTTGTCTTGTAGTCTACTTTTTAAATCGAGTGAAGTACTGATATTTCAGAATTTACAGTTAAAACTCACTGAATGTCCTGTTTAGCAAATGAGACCACCTAACTACCCCCTGCCCTTTGGACTTGTTTACGACATTTAATGTTGCTACTCGTGATAACCCCTGAGACACACCTACACAAAACAAACAAATAACCCCACACAAAACCAAAAAAAAACCACATCCCAACGAACTTACAGAGTTGTATCGCCCTGTCTCTAGCGCTGAAATGGAAAATGAAATAGGAAATAAGGGAACTTTCTTTATTTGTAGCGACTAAAGACATGTCTTGCACAGTATTGTTTCAAATTATCAATGAGCAAATCTCACTAAAACAAAATTCCAAATAAAAACCATAAACGAAATTCAGGTGGTTTTTTTATGTCTGGTGCGTTGTGTGACGAGAAACCAAACTGGAAAATGTGGAAAACATTATTATAAGTCCAGATGCGGGAAAATTTTTTACAATGATTCACCAAGTGCCAAAGTGTTCAGATTGACAGTAGGATTTCGGAATGCCACCAGCATCTGAACTATCGGTTTCCCCGCGTTCCTCTGGGCCACTCTGTCAGCCTTTTTTCTGATTTGTGCCTCCTGATCTCGCTGGTTATTCACTCTAAATGTCTGGATTTTGGGCAGGAAGGAAGTTGAATACTATCGCCAAGGCCTCCCATTTGTCGCCGATGTGTTTGAACTGAGTCAAGCGGTTTTTTGGAGTTGACTTGAGAACCCGCGGAAGGCCAATTTTGGGGTTTGGGTGAGGCAAAATTTAGGGTTCGACCGACCGTGACCGACTTGGCTCGGCTCGGCTCGGACTCTGAGGACATGGACTCGACTATGTCAATGGTAGGGCCTGACCGACCGAGTTGCGTATTCGATAGGGGTGGCGGACTGGACCTCACTTGGGTGACCTTTCTATGTTTCTTTGTATTTTTCGAAGGAAAGGAGGAAAGTGGATGAGCAAAAACAACAGTATCTTTCTTAAAACAGTTGTGTACACTCGTTCGTGGTTTAACTATAAACATATTTACAAATCGGCATCTTTGCCCCCTCCCCTCCGGCTGCCGGTGTAAATGTTCGATGTAAATGTTCGATTTAAATGTCCTGCTCTTGAATAGTGAAGAAGGCATAGTCTAGCCATTGAAATCTGTGCATGTGCAATTTATTGGTTTACCCTGGCTTTCACAGTATCGCTGTAAAGTCAATATTGACTCTGTACGCACCCAAGTTGTCAACACAAACTATGTCAGCAAAGACTCCACTGATCACAACAGCAACAAAACTAAATAGGATAACAAATTAATATAGGACTATGTTAAACATGTTCCCACTATAGAACCATTTCGTTAAAAGATCACAGTGACCACTCCAATCCTCTGTTTAGTGGAAGGGTGGATTCCTGAGATCTCATTTGTTTGTTTTTTGGTCCGTCCGTTCAGTACCACGGGGTCCAATTTGGGGAGGGGTCATTCTGGTGATGGCTCGTTTTCTTGATAGGGGCCGTAGTTCCATGGGCCTTTTAATATGCACGAGTCGGCCACATTGAATTAAAAGTGAGGTAAAATCTTAATTTTTGGACCTTGCGAAGAGAAATGAAAGCAAGTTAATTAATTCAAGTCTGCTTCAATGAACAATTCAAAATTGGTAATTAAACATTCTCTAATGTTTAAAGCCACGTTGAAAAATAAGGCTGCATTTTGCCTGCATATATAGTCTGGCGCCATCCCATTCAACAGTTAACAATTAATAAAATACATTCAGGGAATCTGACCAAAAAATGCCAATTCGTGAATAAGGCCCATAGTTGTTATACTAAAACGCACATTCTTGCCTACTCTCAACTCTGGGTGGTGTGATCTGGAGAGGGGTGGGGGTGAGGGAGGTATATGCCCATTCCCTAACGTAACCGTACACATGAAAGGTATGTTAGTTGCTTGGACATCACTGAGATTGTCGGTGAGTCGATGTACAGAAGAGAGCTCACCTTAGCCAGATTCCATGGTGTTTGAAAGAATACATCTTATCCAATTTCAAATCTCCCTGCAAATCCTGTTAGGATCGATCAATCAGGAGAAATGTTCACAGGATGAGGAGAAATGTTCACAGGATGAGGAGAAAGTTAATAGTTGAAGAAATATCAACCAATAATAATAGATGTAAACGTGTTTATTATTCGGATGCAGCTTACAACGAATACGTCATTATAATTTTGAAAAGGGCGGGCTTTTCTAATTACATTATTGAGTTGTCAACGCGAGAATTATAAACATGGATAAGTCACTATACCAGAAATAAGATACGTGTATCTTGTAATCCAGTAAAAAAATCAAAAGTAATTATTTCAAAATGTCAAACCCATGTTAACATTAACAATCATAAGTATTTTCTTTCAATTTGCACAATCACTGGTATCATTAACAAAGGACTAAAATCATAAATTGAATAATCTATTAAAAAAAAGGAATTTCCTTTAAATTAAAAAAATACGTTGTCTTGTTATCTACTTTTCAATCGAGTGAAGTACTGATATTTCAGAATTTACAGTTAAAAATTCACTGAATGCACTCTTTAGCAAATGAGACCGCCCAAACGTACCCCAACAACCTGCTTCTTGGTCCCGTGATTACGACACTTATTATTGTTACTACCAGTGATAGACATCTGACATGTACACACTTAAACAAACAAACAACCCCACACAAAGACCTAAACAAACACATCCCAACCAACTAACTATATAAGAGTTGTATCGCCATATTTATCCGTTGATTCTGCATCCCATTAATCGATAATCGAGGAGGGCATGGTCCAGAATATTTTTCAGATTTCCCAGTATGTGGCGATTTCTTTACATTCATTATATCTTGGCAATTCCCCAACTCAGACATAAACAAGGGAGATATTTGAGACGTTGATGGCAGCAAACACATCTTTTTCAATTGTTTACGTCACGTTTAAGTTAAAGCGCGCACGCTCAATATGACGCAAACAATGGAAAAGGACCGATGTGTTTGCTGCCACCAACGTCTCAAAAGTCTCCCTAAATTGGCAGAGTTTACTGGTCTCTTATCTCTATACATAAGTGAATGAAAACACAACAATAAACACTATACTGATACACTGTTCATAATACAGGGTGTCCCCCCCCCCCCCCCAAAAAAAAAACCCGAACTCTCAAAGTGCCCTCTTTTTTGCAGCATTAAAAAAGTACCTAAACATTTACCTGAAACATTTCGTTGTCGAGAAGCTGATGAACTACACTCTCCAAATACGTATCGAAATTTGCGATGTATTTTTTTTTAAAAGCTGTGAAAAGAGGGCGCTTTGAGGGTTCAGGTTTTGGGGGGAACACCCTCAGGCTGTAGTATTTGTTGGCAAATAAGTTTTATGATACAGATGATGAAACTGATTTACATAAACTAATTTCAATCAATTTCAGAAAAAGAGGTCAAGAGCGACCTGATGAAATGAAGTCTCTCCCACATGATTAGCCTTCCTGCTTTATAGAACAATGTCTCCACCATTCTCATCAGCTGCCTTAACAGCTGAAAAATAAGAGGAAACAAGTAGCAAATGAATATATAGATAAACGAGCGGATGCTATATCCCATGCGATTACCATGTCATTTTAGAGGATAGCTGGGATCGTTAACCAGTGACCTTTGACCTCGTAACACTTGTAACCAATCAAAACAAAATTTGTCACAAATTATCGATGAGCCAAACTCAGTTTAAAGACATATCCCAAATAAAAGTATGATTTTGATATCTCAGTGGTGATATGTGTGATTGTGATGACTGGCGATGTGTGTAATTTTGATAAACGCCGATTTATGTGATTTTGATAACTGACGATGTGTGTGATATTGATGACTGACGATGTGTGTGATTTTGATGACTGACGATGTATGTGATTTTGATGACTGTTGATGTATGTGATTTTGATGACTGTTGATGTGTGTGATTTTGATGACTGACAATGTATGTGATTTTGATGACTGTTGATGTATGTGATTTTGATGACTGACGATGTATGTGATTTTGATGACTGACGATGTGTGTGATTTTGATGACTGTTGATGTATGTGATTTTGATGACTGTTGATGTATGTGATTTTGATGACTGTTGATGTGTATGATTTTGATGACTGACAATGTATGTGATTTTGATGACTGTTGATGTATGTGATTTTGATGACTGGCGATGTATGTGATATTGATGACTGACAATGTATGTAAATTTGATGACTGACGATGTGTGTGATTTTGATGACTGACGATGTGTGTGATTTTGATGACTGTTGATGTATGTGATTCTGATGACTGACGATGTATGTGATTTTGATGACTGACGATGTGTGTGATTTTGATGACTGACGAGGTGTGTTATTTTGATGACTGACGATGTATGTGATTTTGATGACTGACGATGTATGTGATTTTGATGACTGGCGATGTATGTGGATTTTGATGACTGACGATGTATGTAATTTTGATGACTGGTGATGTATGTGATTCTGATGACTGACGATGTATGTGATTTTGATGACTGGCGATGTATGTGATTTTGATAACTGACGATGTATGTGATTTTGATGACTGACGATGTATGTGATTTTGATGACTGACGATGTGTGTGATTTTGATGACTGACGATGTGTGTGATTCTGATGACTGACGATGTGTGTGTGATATTGATGACTGACGATGTATGTGATTTTGATGACTGACGATGTGTGTGATTTTGATGACTGACGATGTGTGTGATTCTGATGACTGACGATGTGTGTGTGATATTGATGACTGACGATGTATGTGATTTTGATGACTGACGATGTATGTGATTTTGATGACTGACGATGTGTGTGATTCTGATGACTGACGATGTGTGTGATTTTGATGACTGACGATGTGTGTGATTTTGATGACTGACGATGTGTGTTATTTTGATGACTGGCGATGTGTGTGATTTTGATGACTGACGATGTATGTGATTTTGATGACTGGCGATGTGTGTGATTTTGATGACTGACGATGTATGTGATTCTGATGACTGACGATGTATGTGATTTTGATGACTGACGATGTGTGTGATTCTGATGACTGACGATGTGTGTGATTTAGATGACAGACGATGTATGTGATTTTGATAACTGACGATGTATGTGATTTTGATGACTGACGATGTATGTGATTTTGATGACTGACGATGTGTGTGATTCTGATGACTGACGATGTATGTGATTTTGATGACGACGATGTGTGTGATGTGATGACTGGCGATGTGTGTGATTTTGATGACTGTTGATGTATGTGATTTTGATGACTGTGTGTGATTTTGATGACTGGCGATGTGTGTGATTTTGATGACTGACGATGTGTGTGATTCTGATGACTGACGATGTATGTGATTCTGATGACTGACGATGTATGTGATTCTGATGACTGACGATGTATGTGATTTTGATGACTGTGTGTGATTTTGATGACTGGCGATGTGTCTGATTCTGATGACTGACGATGTATGTGATTCTGATGACTGACGATGTATGTGATTCTGATGACTGACGATGTATGTGATTTTGATGACTGGTGATGTGTGTGATTTTGATGACTGACGATGTGTGTGATTTTGATGACTTGCGATGTGTGACGACCAAAAAAAAATGGAAATCAGAGTAGAAACTGTTTTACAGACCCACCAAGTGCCAAAGTTTTAAGATTGACAGTTGACGCTCGAAATGCTTCCACCAACATCTGAACCAGCGGTTTCCCCGCGTTTTTCTGGACCCACTCTGTCAGCATGGTTCTGATTTGTCCCTCCTGATTTTGCTGGTTATTCGCTCTAAATGTTTCGATTTTGGCGTCCGAAAAGTCCAATACTATCGCCAAGGCCTCCCATTTGTCGCCGATGTTCTGCGACAGAGTCAAGCGGTTTTTTGAGTTGAGAACCCGCGGAACGCCAAATTCTGGGTAAAGATAAAAAAAATAATAAAAAAAAGCCTACTACACGTTTATTCTTTGAATGTTCACTGGCGGCTCCAAACCTTTCTGGGGCGGGGTAGGGGCAAAATTGGTAGGGCCTGACCTACCGTGTTGCACATTCGAAGGGGGAGGGCTTGACATCATTAGGTGCTTAAAGGTGTTCTTCATCTTTTACTTTCTAGCATTTTAGTTTCGAAAACCCGTCGAAGGAAAGAAGGGATGGGGGATGAGCCAAAACTACAGTAACGTTCTAAAAAATATTTGTCATCACTCTCTCCTGGTTTGAGTATATAAAAATATAAACAATCTGCATCTGCATTTAACCCCCCCCCCCTCCGATCTGTAGTGTGACTGTTTGATTAGTGACGAATGTACGAAGTTCAGCTATTCATAATTTGTATGTGCATAGGCCTACGTACGTAACTGGTTTTCCCCACATTTCGCAATACCTCTATGTAAATATGACACGCGCCCATCATTTTAATCAATGATGTCAACAACATTACAAAGTCTGCACTGAAATCAACAGGGTTTTTGTACTTCCATTAAATACCACAACTATTAAAAAACAAATATTTCCAGCGGTATTATAAAGGCCGCACATTAATGTAAATGCTAATGCTATCCTTTGTTTGGTGGAAGAGTGGGTTTTTGACACACATGTAAAACATTAATATTAACACATTAAATTTAATATGTAGCGCATAACTTAACAGAATAAAAGATGAATAGGACATGAAAACACAAAATTAAGGACAGTATTTAGCAATGTGTAGTAACTGTCGGCTTCATTTCTCATAATGTTTGTCAGTTGGTCTCTGGGTCAAGGGCGGATCCAGGGGGGGGGCCAAAGGGGGCCATGCCCCCCCCCCCCCCCAAAAAAAGGAAACCATTTTTTTGTTTTATGTGGCGGAGTCGCAATAAAGGCAGGCAATGAGAACACCACCATCTTTTCCTCAAAAAACATTGGTTAAAGTGGTCAGAAATTGCCTCAGATCGCACCACAGAGCATCTAGAATCCAAAAGATTTTCGGGGCCCTCAAGTGGGCCCCGAACCCCACGCCGTAATTTTTTGTCCCACTTTTTGGGGGGACCAAATTTTTTTTGGCCCCCCCCCCCAAAAAAAAATGTGTTCTGGATCCGCCCTTGCTCTGGGTCTGATTTGCTGGTGGGGGAGTTATTTAGGGTTGCGTGGAATTCAGTGGTATTTAAACTGATATATTGCCTTTCCCAAATAATTCGTATAGCCACAGGGGAGCCTTGAAAGGGGCCTTGAGCCCATCCACCCCCCTTTCAACCCACAAAGAAGCTTAAAGGGCTGTAATGCAGTCTTTGTAAATGCACCTTTGTGTCCAATTTAGCCTTATTTTCAAGTTTCATTTTGCAACTTTTATGCATTTTGGCGCCTTTTTGTTTTTTATGCTAACGTAAATTTCAGCACCAAAATTTGCCAGACTTTATATTCTTTTCTTTGGCGGATTTGTTGTTGTCTCAGTACACAAAAGGCAGGACAGTATAGGCAGATGAGCAAAGGTGTCTGACAAACTTTTCCAATGAGCAAATTGTTGGTTCACCTTTGCACAGAAAACCCGTGCACTGAACAAAATGTCTTCCTGAAATGGAATCACAGCAGCAGCGCCCCGTCCTAAAAGTGTCGACAATTTGAAGTGCACTTTTCAATAAGATTAACCAAAAAGAGATGTCTGGTTGTTTTCAAGCATTTAAGCAGAAAGTTGCAAAATAAATATGTTCCCAAGTAAAATTCATGTCATGAGCCCACTGACTTTTCCAGTAATGCCTGAGTACCGTCAGACAGTGACATAACTGTGAAGGGTCACGGGGCACCTCCCGCCCGCCATGCACTGGTGTAAGATTTATGTGTACGCGGGGAAAGAACTCACCTCCTGGAGCTGCCATGGGGCTATCGTTGGTGGCACCTGTCAGTAATCCAAGCCTGAAGACCTGTAGATCGATCAATCGGAACAAATTTCAGTTGAGTGTGAAGTTAATCAGGAATCCGGCCATGCGATCACCTGTGCAACCACGAGGGCCCCTGCACTGTGAACAGGCGCGTAGGCAGTTTTGTTTGCCCGTTCCACACTAGAATTTTCACCGTCCTTATATTTTGCTTCAATCAACGTCCAAATTTTCCTTTCAACGGTCCCTCCCCAACTTGAAATCTAACAATCTGCACCCCCTACGCGACTGCCCTGCAACGGAGAAACCAAAGTGCATGCACGCTATAATAAAGCATTTTTTTTATTTTTGCGAAGAAGCTGCCATGTGATAGTCTGAACAATAGCTATCACAATGCTTTCGCCACTGAAGGGGGCACCGGGATACAATATCGGGAGTGCCCGGATTGGTGTATCTGGACAAATTTAAATTTTAATCTTGAACCTTGAATAAGCATGGATTAAGTTACGCTATTCCTTGATAACTCATGTGTAATTCGAATGCAGCTTACATGGAATCATGCATAAATTTGACCCCAAACATGCTCTACTAATTATGACGTAATGGGGTTGTCAATGAGATGTAGAAAAAGAAGGGGGAAAATCCGCGAACACATGCGGAAGTTGTGAAATACGAGTATTTTTGTACATGAAGATAGCGTCAAATATCAAAACCACGCTCTGGCACAATTTTAAAAAAATTTCAAATAAAAAAGAAGAAGTTTTATACTTACTCAAAGGCACCGTTGGTTTCTAATTTTGCTAAAATGCCGGATATACCGTCGGTGGTACAATTCGTTCGACTATTTTAAACCCTTACCAAACCTGCACCTTTTGTTGTGGCGAGGGATTTTCCACGGACGCAGAAAATAGAACGTGAATCATGCACACACAAAAATCCTGATCGATTTACATAACAATGCGAAGTTCATCGAAACATGAACGATATAGGCTAAAAGTGGAGTTGGGAATTCCAAAATGCTTGTCTCTTCGGCTGCAAACTAAATCCTACTTTTTAATTTCTCAATGCGAGCCCATGTTTTGGACAGGAACAGCGAACGAGGACATATGGTGGGTCTTGTTAAAACAAGACCAAAACTATTATTTTAAGACATGGGAAAACTCAGAAAACTCCATGGCCCGTTTGGGCCACCGTACAAAAATGTTTGCACTACTTCCCATCATGCAGTAGTAAAATAAAAATGGCTGCCTCCATCACCAACACTGCGCAATAGTCGTAGCCTTGTTGCCATTTTGTGATTGGACAATGGACGACGTTCATTTGATGGTGTCTTCGTATCTCCAGTGCAAGTAGCTGCAAGCGCGGTCACAAAAAAGTAATGCTGCTTACGCACCTGGGATCCGTCCGCACTCAATTGGAGTGTTAAGTAATTCTTCCGGTCGCATTATCAGTCCTTTATAGATATTAGGGAGGTATTTTTTTTTTTAAATTAAAACAATGATTGAAGAGAAAAGCAGGGGTCAATTTAATACGCACAATATGTACATCAAATTAATAAATTTACATTCATAAAATATTTTTTTTAAAGAAAGCATGAATATATAGATGAATAATATAAGTTTCTTTTTAAAGAGAGAAGTAATTCTTCCATTCCCAAAGTTTATGCACAAAATTAATGTCCAACGAATCATTGCAGATAGCTTGCAATGTTCATTTAAATATCGAGATATATACACAGTAGGGTTTTGTGAAATGATTTTTCTTTTTCCCCTTTCTGTTTCATTATGTGAACGAAATGTGTCACAAAAAACCTGCAGAATCTGGCCTTGTACGATGAACATGTACATGCGGCGCCCGTACGTGTACATGGTACCATACGTACTTGCGTACATGTACTTCAACGTCGTTAATTGACCAATCACAAAATGGCAACAAGGCTACGACTATTGCGCAGTATCACCAACTTAGCAACGCGTCTCTCATCTGTCACTTTCAGTGCAAAAGATGGAATTTCGCGTATGCAGAAAGCTGAAGCAACCCATGACAGTTTAGCAGAATCTGCATGTGTTTCGGGGTTGCAATCAGAGAGATTGTCAGTTAGTTGTACTCCTGTTATCCTCGAGTTTCGGCGGTTGTTTCAAAGCGCCAAGTTCAAGTCGGTCAACTTGATTCCAGGGGTGTGTACAAAAACGATTGTCATGATTGTGTAACGTTAGTTACGCGCCCTCCCTAGGAATGTCAAAAACATTCTTGTCTATCAGTTTTGTTGGCAATCCTTACCTTTAGGACCTCATTCCTATATAGGAAGGGAAAACTCACCGAAAAGACTCACCAAACATTGCCAAAACAGTTAGTCCATGTGTTTATAGCTCCATGGTTAGTCCATACATAACAGTTGACTAAATGACACTCATAACCCTCATTGACTCAAAATTGACATTCTGATTCTGATATTTCCTGACACATCTGAATATCAGCAGGTGTAATTTTGTGGAAAAAGGGCAGGGCTTTGATTTTAGAGGGAAATTGAGGGGTAAGGCGAAGTAAAAAAAAAACATGTTTAGCGTCTCCGCTAGCCCCACTAGTGTGGCCGTCGGTATGCTGCGTAGCCCCACTAGTGTGGCCGTCGGTATGCTGCGCTGAACCTCTGGCCACACACCGTGGTACCGCGCGCTACTGAGGACAAAGTTTTCATAAAATTCAGGGCAGTTTCTTACATTTTCAGTTTCTTACTTTCTTATGGTTGTATTCTATGATGTCTCACCTATCACTTCTGGGATGCTTAGGTCTAATGATGTTCCATTTTCCGAGATATTCTTCAATCTTTCCGGAGTCCATATGCACTCGTGAAACGTCTGGTGATGGCAGCCATTTTGAATGGGACAAGAGATGACCTCAAGCTGTGACGTCGCGTGTATGCAAATTGCTTGTCGAGGGCGCGAGTTGCAAATGCGACGGCTGTTTCCTGTACCATGCATTTATCGTCAGGGGGCCACGTGCACCGATCTCTATTCAGGATCTACGGCACAGGAAACAGCCGTCGCATTTGCAACTTTTTTTTTTTTTTTTTTTTTTTAAAGACAAAAATTGATAAATTTTAACGATCTCTGACAAAAGAAATCGTATTTTTAGACTTTTATACCGTGTATAAAGCTGTGGAAATAGTCAATGAGTCCAAGTGGCGGCCATTTTGAAAAAAGCTGGTAACCATCTTGAAAAATAGCCCGGCCGCGTTGTCTTGAAAAATGTGTCGGGCGGCCATTTTGAAAAGAAAAAAAAAAAAAAAAGGGCCTCCTCCTTCCTTTTTGTCAAAGAGGCAGGACGCTAAACATGTTTTTTATTTATTTTGCCTAAAACTAAAAGACGACGATGACAACCAGAAAACAGACTCAAAAAAACAAGATGGCAAACGTGAAAGCTTGATGCAATGAAAGCTCAATGCTGATTGGCTGATAAAAAATAAACATCTTATTTATTTTTTTCAGCAGCCAATCAGCATCGGGCTTTCATTAATGTAACACTTTCACTCGTGTTATGAGAACTACAACATGCACGTCTGACTGCAAAAACAGGAAAGTCACATTTTCTTTGAAAGTGCTTTCAAAACTACAACTAACATGAGTTTGTATGAAGAAAAAACACTGCATTACTTAGCCTGTAAAAGTCATTTTGGTACTGGACAGTCATCTGCAAAAGTCAGTTTTGAACAGAACTCGTAAAAAATAGAGGTGTCCTAAAGATAAGGATTACCATATTGTTGATGTACCCTAACGTAGCGCGGCCCCCAGCGTGGCGCACTTTGAAGTTTTGCCTGTAGCGCCTAGGTAGCTAGAGCAAAAGTACTTTTAACTGATATTTCACAGAAAAAGAAAATTCATCTAGTTCTTAACACTCCCGTTTAAAAATCGCGAGTTTATTTTAATACCCGTTACAAAGTTAGAAGAACAATTATGTTGGCGTGGTTTTCCAATTTTATTTTGAAGTGCAAAGTGAACCCTTTGAAAATGCCCCGAAAAATTAAGAAGAAAAAAATTCTGACAAACTTCTGGTTGGGTATGTAAGTAGAGATAATAATGGTTTATCAGAATCTATTGACTTTACAGGAATTCTTAAATGTCAATTTGGAATTTTCCAATTTGTTCCCAATTTCCCGACGCCACTGTTTTTGAATTTCGGATTAAATTTCATGAAACCTAAATTGTTCACAGATGTTGTTAAGTAGCGAGCATAAGGTCAAAGTACCAGTATTTCACTGCATGAATTTGAGGTTTGTCACCAAAGAGGTTTGGCAACACTACACGAGGAAAGTCGGGTAAACGTCGAAGTGCGCCACGTTAGGGAACACCACCATAGTATCACTAGTAGGCCTATATCAGGCTTTTTGAAGAAAAAAAAGGAGGAAGCCATTTTCGTTATTTCCTTGGTTGGAACCTTGACTCTTTTGCAGATCATTTTTGTGATATGTCAAAAGGAACCATTAATTATCACTATTTCAGTAAATTGGCCGAGTTCAGTGCGGCTATAGCGATTCAGTTTATACCAGATTTTCTACCTTTCTACCAGATTTTGAACTTCAAATATTGGCCTCAAATTTGCTAGAAAAGAGACAAAATAATATATTGCAAATGTTTCATTTAAAAGGGGGGGGGGAGGGGACGTGGCAGGTAGGAAAAAGGAAGCTGGCGGGGCCAAGAAACTAGTGGATTATTTTGCTTGGCCAAATTATTCTTACCATGAGAAAAGCCCATTTGTTTAAATCGTTGTCATGAATTTGATTAGTCAGAGCCGCCAAAAGTGTGACCGTGCAACGTAACTTGTTACCGCCTATTTTTTGTGGTGCAACCTTTTTTGTGGTGCTATGGCATGTGATTAAAGATCCGCCAATCAGGTGACAGGGATTTATTCAGCCGTTGTATAGCATAAGATAAAATGGCAACCCAACAAATTAAACACAAATTATTGCTTTATTCTGTTATAGGTTCCAAACTGGGAGTTACTCCATGCTGTTATAGCTTTATATGATGTGTGCCTGCCTGACATTACACCAGAAGTATTGTACTTTACTGTGTGCGGCAAATGGGCCAAAACATTGCTACTTATCAGAGATACCCAAGGTAAGTTGGAACAAATGGCAACTGAATCACTATGGCCGCATTGAACTAGGCCAATTTTCTCTTGGTTGCTACTTCTTTATGTGCTGGGTAATAATTTTTTGAGGAGATTTTGAGACATACATGAATAACTTCAGGGAGCCAAATTTTTGTTGAGAATGATCAATGAAAAATGACCTCTGCCAACAAAATAGGCTATTGTTCAGATACCGTGTGATTTCACTTCAAGAAATTCAGAAACTATTACATTGAAGTTCCTCATAGATTAGAAAATCCCCAGAAAGCAACTTATTTTCTTCATGAATTGATTTCCCAGTTATGTTAGTTACCATTTTCTCGGATGCTGTGTTGAAAAAAAAAAGAAGGATTTTTGAAAAAATGAAGGAGGCCGGCACTTTATCCCCCTTTTTTCCCCAAAGGTGGCGCAGGATTGTCCAAGTTGGTAGATGGATTCTTCCATTTTCAAAACTCTTTTTCTGATACAAAAATGTGTCTGAAGGAGCCATAACCCTTTCTACATAGCTGCCCTTTTGTTGGAAACAAATGAGACATGTGCAAAATATATAACAAATACATGAATTTATAATTTAAAAAAAATATTAAAAAGAGGTGAGTGGGGAAAAGAAAGTGGGCAGGAATCAGAAACTGGTTTAATTTTTATACTTGGCCGTATGTCTTATTGCGTGTTCTTTATTTCTTATTTGAGCAGATGTTGCAGCTGACCTCAATTCAAAGAGCAGTGGTAAAAGCGGAAGCTGCGTGTCCAGTGATGCAGGGATCTCTGTGAGTCCTACCAATGGCAGCCATGTGACCTCTGACCTAGTGGTGACTGATCTTGAACAAGGTCAAGGGTCAACCAATCACAATGACCCTGTCAATGAAAATGAACAGGGCATTGTGAGGAATGGAGAAGAAAAGGCTGGAGGGGAGTCTAGTTACCCAACAGAAGCTGGAGACAGCAAAGAGAAGAAAGGAATATTTGCTGACGTCTTCAGCGACACGGAAAGTGAAGAGGATACAGAGAGGTGCTCAAAGTGAAATTGTTTTCTTAATGTTGGAGTAGATTAATTGAGTAGGTTTGGCTGGCCGTAGGTGTTTACTTTCATCGTTAACTTGATTTTGTTTGTCTATCCTAGTGATGAAGATGATGAGGATTTTACGGAAGGACAAGAAGCTTTCTTGAGACTAGTCAGAGAGAGGAGAGAGAGGAGACAGTTAGCCTTATCTCAAGGCCGTGATCCATCCCCGCACATTGGCATCGAGTCTAGGCTCATTGCCTGCGCCACTTGGGAAAAGTCTACTATGTGAGTATTATAAAACTGAATCCTTCTTCGATAGGCTAGAATCAGCATTTAATCCCTTAGGCTTAGGGGTGTGCATCGGATGGTACCCGACCTCTAATGTCAGTAACTGGGGCCATATTATCATAGGATTGGGTATCCATCCTGAATTTTTCGCTCAAAATAGTTGAATCGAAAGTCCGATTCCACTTTTTAACCACTTGTGTTCAATTCCAACCTGCAGCTGTTTTTAAAAACAATTTCAAAAATTGTTTTTGTTGCTGTCAAAATATTATTTCTTGAGCAGAAAAAATAAGCTTACTTCAGTAATCCATACACTGCCGGATTAGGGAATGTTCTTTTCTGAAGTGATTTGCTATTAGTTCTAAGCTTTAATTACTTTCATGTCTTCCTTTTATGTTTGTCTTTCTTGCAGTCGTCCAGGAGAGAGGAACGTACAGATAGACCTGCTGGCCGTTAGGAAGAGGTTCAGGAAACTGGGAATTGGAAAATATCTCTTGCAGGTAAAGTGTTCACTTGCGAATGGAAAACAAAATTAAAATCGCGGAAATAATCATCTGTCCCCATTAGAAACATCACTATCAGTGTTTAAGTCGAGTCCATCACAAGTCTTCACAAGTTCTCACAGGTCACCTAGTCTCTCGTCATTAATTATTAAATTAACTTTGACAAAAGCATTCCTTCATTGTTGTTCATCTCCTGTTACTTGTGACTGGATTTTTCTTGTGATTTACAGGCATGCAACTTTTTCTCGGATCAGCTGATTTTCTCTTTTTTTACTTCCCATGTGTGCCATTGAAAATAGAAAAACACTGTACAAAGTCTGGGAAAAATTTGACTTTCCTCTTTTTTGTGATTTCCCAGTTGCATGCCTGGATTTAGTAGTTACCAGACTTTACAATAGATTGCGATAGACTGAACTTCAATACTACAATAAATGTAATCAAATCAGGCAGCTCACTAAAATTTAAACAATTCAAATTCCCCAAAATGAGTGGATTGTCCTTTTGTATAATTACTGAGAATAATGTCTGGATTTCTTCTGTAGACTCTGAAGGATGTGTCGGTGCTGGGCCTCTACGATGCCCTGGTCGTCTATGCCGATAATTCAGCTGTGGATTTCTTCGGCCGTCACGGCTTCGATGATGATATTGTTCTCAATAGCAAGTTCTCTGATCTGGCCGATAACTGGACCAACTGCACCCTCATGTGCTACCTACCCCCATTCTCAGGTAAGTCATTACTCTGTGTTCTCTCCTTCATTTTCATTCTGTTTCTTCTTTAAAAACAAACTTGCGCTTTGCTGGGTCGGCTAAGTCAAAACTCTCTTTTCACAGGCCAGACCATAATGACTGAATCGGACGCCGGACTGGACCTTAAACTGATGGAGCTAGAACTCCAGAAGTGGTCCCTCAAGAGTCGAGAGGCCCACCAAGCTCAGATGGCTTGTGCTATGAAACTCAAACATGAGGTCATCTCACTTAGAGCGCTGGTCAGTTCTCAGCAGGAACTTATCCGGTCACTCACTCGCGAGTTGGAGCAACTCGGCGCTGACAAGTTTCACATGGGTGAGTAACATTTTTTTTGGGGGGGGGGAGGGGGAGAAGATGAATAGTTATTAAAGAATTGGGAATGCAAACAAATACTGAATTTTCAAATGAACCACTTGTTATTTTGTTTCACCCAATGTTTTTCATTTTTGTTTCTTTTACTCAACAGAAAAGGATTTTCTTCAACAGCAACTGTCTGATTTAACCGTTAACATTGGTGCAAAGGCTCGCAATCATACTGACCCTGGTAAGACAAAGTACCATGTTTTATATGCAGGGTTAGTCAAAAAAGCGATACCCAAATTTTGGGACCATTGTTTTTAATAGTGAAGTTCTGCATGTAGCCCTTTCAAAATCTAGGACACAAAAGCCCAATTCATAGGCTTTCCTTTAGTACAAGAATCATTTAAATCACTTGTGTACTTTTTAAGTTACGGAATATTAAACAAAATCACTGTTTTAAAGTTCTGTCCACGGATCACAAGAAGGTAAGTGTTCTTTCAGCAAAATGAAAACAAATCACATAGGGATGTGTGGGAATTGTTTTCGTTTCGCTGGAAGAATGCACACCTTTTTGTGATCCGTGGACAGAACTTTGAAACGGTGGTTGTGTTTAAAATTCCGTAACTTGAAAAGTACATGAGTGATTTGAATGATTTTTTAACTCAAAGAAAGCTTATGAATTGGGCTTTCATAACCTAGATTTTCAAAGTGCTACATGCAGAACTTCACCAAAGGAATAGTTTTTGACTCACCCTGTATAGGATATAGTTAGAGCTACAATAGATGGTCCTCTATAGACTCTGCGCACAAGTACCCCCTCAATGGGTTACAAAGGGAGAGTTGGGGGAGACCACTGGGAGAGACATTCGAATGCATTGCCAATGAAGCCTGATGCTTATACAAAGACGCAATGGCTTTGTGCACATTCAGAATAAAATCAGTAGTATGTACTTCACTCCATAGGTACAAACTAGTATGCGCGCACGCAGTGTGTCCCGTCCGCTGAGCTCACGAAAGTGGTTAAAAACCATTGTTTGGTTAACGGGGTCAATTTCGAAATTACCAATATTTGTGTGAGAACTTCAGGACCATTTTCATCAGTTTTCCCCCAAACTAGGAAAAGATTACCCTAATTTCTCGATCTATTTTTTTTTTTATTTAATGTCTTTTTATTAGGTATTCGATCTTGGAAATATAATCATTACATACAATAACGTTTTGGTTTAAATTTGCATCATTCTTGATCTTGTTTTCTAGGCGATGATACAGAGGAAGTTGATACCAATAAGTTGATACAGGATTTGGAGCGAAGGATAACTACATTTGGCGTTGCTGAAACGGGTAAGTGGAGTTTTAGAATATTTTTAATTGAACCACACAGTGAAACTGGCTAGGTGAATTATAACAGTTGAAAAGTTGAATAACGAAATTGACTGCGTCGGGGCTTGAACCTGTGACCTCCGGAACCATTCCAGTGCTCTACCAACTGAGCTATCCAGCCCTATGTTGGCGGTTCCTCAATCGGTCAATATCTGTGTTCAAAAGGCCCTAGTCAGAAGCCATAGGTAGACCAATTCACTCTTATCTAAAGATACTGTTGGTTTAGAAATGATGTATTGGCCACCAAAACACAAACTTGTAATTTGTAGAAAACCAGTAACACATCTCTAGTTTTTTGTTGTTGTTTTTTTGTGGTTGGTTGAAAAAAAAAAAAATTCTGCTAATTTTTACCTTGATTTAGAATCACCCGCTCCTGATGGCTGTATCAACTGGCAGATTGCAGAGGAGTTCAGATTGAGCATGGATGACTCAGTCATGGCCGGCATGTGTGTCGTTACTAAAACAGTCAAGGTACGGTCTAAATTTCTTCTGTCTGTAATTCTAACCAACCCCCCCCCCCAAAAAAAATCTGCACTGCAGGCTTTCTTTGGATGCCATCAGCTTTTAAAATTACAAATCGTGTGGGTTGTAGTTCTGGTGTCCATGGGCAAGACACTTTGTCTCAATTTGCTTCTCTCCATCCAGGGGTAAACAGGCTAAGGCTTAGATGGTGCCATTGAGCAATATACTCCCCAGAGAACTGAGATGGTTTTGGGACTACCTTATAGGCCAATTAGGCAGGAGTAATAATGATGTAGCGTCATGCATGCCGGTGTTTGTGTATACACGCACCAGGAAGTGTTGCAGATTGTGAAAGCTACTCCTTTTGGAATAATTCACATGGAGTTAGCGTATTCCTTTTGTGAAGCACATTCCACATGGGAATGAGCACATTTTGTATTGGAATAAGCACATTTTTTTTCCTGTTGTCTGTGGCAATAAGCAGTGTTTCATGAATGTGCTGCACCGGAACAATCTGTTCCCGAATATATAAACATTCCATATCAAACAGAATGTTCCAAAGACTCGATTCACTGTCTGACCTCGTCTTTCGTGTCACAGGCCAACGTTTCAAGCTCTGCGACCGAGATGTTCAACACCAGATGTCGGCATTTACGAGACCCGTCTCTCCACACCAAGATGTACCTGTGTGGCACCTTACAGCATCCTGAGAGGATACCACGGATTCTATCAGACGGCTTCACTGAGCAAGGTGGGTGGTTTGGATGGTAGTCTGGCTTAGGGCTGTGCCGAATATTCGAATATTCGAATATTCAATCGATAATCAAATATTCAAATATTTATTTTCAAATAAGAATATTCGGTGGTGATATGCAATAGGGCTGTGCCGGATAATCAAATATTCGAATATTCGATCGATTGGAAGGTCAAATATTCAAATATTCAATTATTCGAATTGACTCAGCCCTAGTCTGGCTCAATCTCTCAGATATTCTTGAACTATCTAAAATACTGGTTCAATCTCACAGATATAGACAGTTTGCACAACTACCCCCTCTCTTGGTTGAAAAGAGAGAGGTATATGGGACTCAAAAGCATTGTTGCCATATGCCTGGTCCCATGCGAAGATTAATGTTGGATCATACTGTAACGAAGCGGGGAAAAAGATATAACTACGTCAAGTATAACCAGTCAAAAGGACTGAAATAAGGAGCTAATTACAGGCTTGTAAATTTTGAGTGAATCAATTTTGAGTGATATTTTAATCCAGTCACCAACATTACACAGATTCCCAATTTACATATAAAGATTGATGTGTAAAAAAAATACAAGTGAGAAGTCAGAAATGTGTCCAACTACAAGTTTTAAGTGTTTCAAACTTTTGTTTCAAACTTCAGTAGTTAAATACAGATAATTGTGAGGCTACTTTGCAGGGGAAAATACAGCCTCAAAGTCCTTGTACTAGACCTTATTTTTGAGCAAATTCTGCCTCTGAGGTTAGTACATTATTTTAATGCTTACAGCTTTTGGTCCCTTCAAAGCTGATATATGTGACATAAGCAGCAAAAAGTGTGCTAGTGGTTGTGTTGAATTTAGTTTTTGGCAAATCCATCTCATATATTTTCCAACTTTTCTTGCCTACTTGTTTGCTTTCAGATTTCAGTCATGGAGAATTTGGCGTCGGTCTCTACTTCAGTCAACACGCTTCCAAAGCAGCTCACTTCTCAGCGGTAAGGACATTGATTAATGTACCAAATATACTTGTTGCAGTCATGTCTTTTTCCCTAAGAAGTCAGCAAAGTTGTCGGCATTCTTGAAACACTTATTCAGTTTCTATACATAATAATATTAGAATATTGAAATATATTTTTGAAATATCCATGTTCTTGAAATGAACTCGTAAAGGGTATCAGCCACTTGCAAGTGTTTTTCATCTTCATTGTAATTTTACAATAATCTTCGTATTACTTTTAATTTCTTTTCTGTTTTCCAGCTTGGGAAGCTTCTACTAGTTGAGGTCGGTCTGGGCAAGACAGATTCGGTAGTCAAGCCAGACAACACTAGAGTAGCTCCCCCAGACGGATTTGACACAGTTGTGGTAAGATGTAGAAGTTAACGGTGCTTGCAAATGCCAGTCTTGGGTTACATTTTAAACCTGAAATCTGCCAAATTCTGCGACTATATCATTTTACATAAAACATTTGCCAGGTTGCAACTAACAGGACTTGAACAAATGGCAATTTTTGACGGTACATTTGAATAACTTGTGACTTGAATTGAGACTTCATGCCTTGTGACTGACTAGTGAATAACTTGTGATGACTAGTTTGAACTTCTGGGAAAGTACATAAGATGTAAGCATTTGGCTCATCAAATAAATTGTATTTAAATTCAAGACTTACGTTGTGGATGTATTCAAGAACAAAGTTATCACTCTCAATTAAACTCAAGTTTTTTGTGTTATTTTTTCTCAGACACCTGGGAGGTTGTCCTTACTGAGTGGAGGCGATGGGATGATCAGTGGATGCCAGGAGTATGTCATCTTTGATCCGTGTCAAGCGCTGCCTCTCTACCTCATAGAATACAGGCTAGAGTGACATCACAAGATGAGGGTCATTGGAGGTTGTCCTTACTGAGTGGAGGCGATGGGATGATCAGTGGATGCCAGGAGTATGTCATCTTTGATCCGTGTCAAGCGCTGCCTCTCTACCTCATAGAATACAGGCTAGAGTGACATCACAAGATGAGGGTAATCGGAGGCTGTCTTCACTGAGTGGAGGCAATTGGATGATCAGTGGATGCCAGGAGCATGTCATCTTTGATCAGTGTCAAGCGCTGCCTCTCTACCTCATAGAATACAGACTAGAGTGACATCACAAGATGAGGATTATGGGAGGCTGTCCTTACTGAGTGGAGGCGATCGGATGATCAGTGGATGCCAGGTGTATGTCATCTTTGATCCGTGCCAAGTGCTGCCTCTCTACCTCATAGAACACCATCTATAGTAGCATGACAAGATGAGAGTTTGATATCGAACCTCAAGGTATGAACAATAAGCTGATGATGAAAGAGTTTATTAGCAGAGGCTAATTCCCTGGAGCTCTCAAGCATTAAGCTCTGTTAAGCACAAACAAAAATTGCTTGGCAAAAACAGGTTACCAACCATACTGTCATACAACGTAAACCACTTTTAACTGGTTCCCAGCAGGTTTTTGTCACTGATCTCACTATACTGACTGTATAGCATATACCCATCACACTGTACATTAAGTTATACCGCTTTTTGACCAGTTCACCCCAGTCTTCCAAAAATGGCCGCCGAATTACGAATATCTACATGTACATATAGTGCGCTGTGTCAAGATTTGACCCGCATTTTGTTCACGTACACATTATGATGTTCTAAAAAGGACAAGTTTTCGTTGTGGTTATATTTCCAAATGTCACAAAAAGTGAACTGCAGCATTTAAAAAAGTGAACCGTGACGTTTTGGAAAACTGTGAAGCGTGGCGGACAAAAGGTGCCCACGATGTTGCAAAAGTGAATCACAACCTTTGAGAACAGATCTAAGACGGCAAGTTGTCCTTTATAGAACACCGAATGGTCTCCGCAATGTGGCTTCGAATGACTTCCTTCTGCAGTTCTCTGCACGCTATCCAGTCAGTATATAGAGATCAGCATTTTTCTGCTCAGTAGATTGGCTAAGTTCCTCTGCTGAGGAGCTCTTTGACATTGGCCCCTGGTTGATGAGAAGATTGTCTCTGAAAAGTGCCCCCTCAATCTTCAAAAAGATTTTTTTGACACAATTGGAGGATTCTATTTGTGTTTTGTACCAAAATGGCACCCTCTTATTGTGTCCAAACATTGATGTGATAATGAACCGGAGTTTGTGTGCTTTTTACTTCCTGCCTCCTTCATTACAAAGTCTTAAGAAGTAATCACACAATGGAAATAATATCCTGATGTGACAGATGCACCTCAGCTTCGCCTCATGGGATGGACATTCATCTGTCACCGATCGATATTATTCTTTCCATTGCACAAATGTGGAACATTCTTTGTTTTATGCAACACCTGAATAAATCCTCGTCATCTGATTGGTCAGAGCCACCAATCGTGTGACTGTGGAATAGAACTTCTATGTACCGTGGGATAGAGCTTCTATTGTTGCTGTGCCGCCGGGCCGTGCTTGGGACAAGTAATTCAATGACATGTGATCAATGACCCGCCATGACGGGGATTTATTCACGTATTGTAATGTTTAATAAGAATATGACATTTTTTTTAAATACAAGTCGATAACCCCACTAAGCCTCTTCAGTGGTCTTTGTGTGCAGTGTCCCTAACCTCCCCACTCCATCAAAATCCATTCCCCCATTTGGGGGATTTTGGTGGGCAACACATCTGTACCAAGTCCATCAAAATCCACCTATAGTAGTGGTGGTCTTGTGGTGGATTTCAGCGGATTTGGTCCTGAAGCATTATGTGAAGCAGGGTCAGTGATGGATTTTGGTGGACTTGGTCTAGTAATCAGTAAAAGACACTAAGGAGTGGGGGTTTTAAGCAAGGTAATTCAGCAAATAATGTGCATTGTAAAAGTTTTTTTTTTTTTCAAAGTCATAATTTCTTTTGACAAAGTTGGATTTTTATATGCCTGTACCTATTGTTGATATTGTGTTTTATGCACATATATTTAAATTATTCATAAATGTATATTTTTGTGTATATACTGTGAATCACATTCCGTCCAGCAACGCCTACTGCCATTCATTACTCCATCCTTTTCCTATATTTCCATCTCAAATCCATTGAGAGTTGATTTACTGCCTTGGTCCTTCGGGCTTGTGATGTAAATTGGTTGGTAATGAAATTCGCAGGGCGTAAAATTAGGGGGGAAAATAAAATACTGATATGTAGAATTCCATGGGGAGTTGTGCATGACAGCACGGCAAAAATACTGATTTGGTTAGGCAGTCGGTGAATTATGCTCATTTAAAATGCCTCAGCGGTTCTGCTTATTTCATTTATTTTGCAGTATTTTTTATAAAAAAAAAAATGGCCAAAGATTGATGAGCTGGGATTATTCCGTGATAGGTGGACTCAAAATATACGTAATGATGCTAAATATTTGTACTATTTGTAATATAAGAGCCGTCCAATAATATCTTATTGATAACAGAAAACATAATATAGGCCTACTTGTGTGTGATGTCAAACCATTGTAAAAATAAATTTTCAAACATTTGTTTAAAAAAACCCATCTTTTGGAGTTGTATATGTTTTGTGTTTGTAACAATACCAATAATCGTACAATACCAATAAATGCCTCGACATTTCTTGAGTCCAGTCTTAAGCTGGAAGTTTGCACTCCTGAAATATCCTCATTATGATTTACAAACGGAACCCACAGAGACCCAGTTTTGAAAATTTGCACTTATTGTACAAGCACGTGATCGTTGGGGGTTTTTTTAAAGCAAAAGTCCTTTGTTGTGGAACAAAAGAATTTTTGTCCGCAGCTGTCTGCAGTTGACACGCAGCTGCCAGTCTATAAAATATCAAGCGTCTAAAAAAATGAATTATTATAGAATAGTCATATTATATCTATGATGTGGTTTAGTATCCACAGTCATTCTTTATTTCATGTACTTCTACTACTTGACTGAGAGCATCATTTTGTATTTACTGTTGTTTGCCCAAGGCCCATTCGAATCAACACTTGATTAGATTTCAGACTGTCAAATTGTATGTCTGGCGTTTGATGACCTGCTTGTGGCAGATGAGGTTACATCGCGGAAGGAAACATCATTAGTAAACGGGAAAAGGAAACGACATGGTACGTGGAGTCAGCGTGGTATATTATTATGATTATTATTCAGTGGACTGCCGTTAAATACTCTGCGTTATTTATGTAGCTGTCATTTCGCGGTGTGTACGCAACTCCAAGTCAATGGAGTGATGCGTAATTGCACTCCCTTGGGGCAAGCTTTTCACTCTGTTGCCAACGTTACGGGTGCAGATGTAATCACAAAACGGCCGGATCTAGGACTGTGGATGGCCTCTCTAGTCTTGCCGTGTTCGGTGATGTAAGACTGCTGGACGTTACTGTGACATTTGCGAGCTAAGTGGGCAAACTATTTGCGAGTTTCACCGGGGGAGTACCGAGGCCTAGTGTCATCACGCAGACACTTCGATCCTGTCATGTTTTTGACTGTGTTCGGCCCTCGAGGATAGCGATTAGAATAGGTGAACTTATATGACATTTCATACGATATGTTATCGTTTAGTCAGCCGGTCTACTGATATAGCACGCATGACGGGAACGGCCTCCCTTACAAAATTACCAAACAATTACAGTGCGATGACCATATACAAATCTTAATTTCGATTTCTCAACATCGATTTCTGGGATGTGCGGGCTGTAAGGAGGCCTCTTCATAATCAAGTCGCAGCACACCCCTACTTGAGGCCTTCTTGATACTCAAGATATTGCACTTTTTTACATAAATAGTACAAGGCAGCTGGCCGGTGTCCCAGCGGTCGGCCGTTGATGAAGCTCGACCGTCCGTGCGTGAGTTAGGTTTTTTTCCCGCCGTTGATTCGCGCGTATCGCCCGGGGCACGTGGTCCGCGTGGAGTGACGAGAGTGTTTTCTACGCGCTGCATTTTTATTACAACTCCGGATCTCTATCGAGCGGCGGTCATCTATCGAACTGTTGGGTGCTTCGCTGGCTCTGCTCGGGAGTGCTCGCACGTAAGAAACCAGCGGGAAAATGAGATAAGGTGACACCAAATGTAGATTCTGGCAGGATAGTGAGTGTAGATTCGCTGTGGTGACACGAGTATTTACAAAATGGATCAATCACCGGCATCCTGCAGGTATGATGGCCGTCAACGGACAACCCGACGCCATCTCAGAGAAATCCTGGTCAGTACAAATGGTATTTTAATGACACATTTTGATAATTATTATTGGCAATGCATTATTGTTATCAATTAGATAAAGGTTTACGGTATAGCACGGTGACACATTTCTTTTGTGAGTTTGTGAGGTTTGCATGCCCCTGGTTCTTTTCTGAAACTCCACAAACTCACAAAAGAATTTTTTTCACATGGTGCTACCGTACAGTAAATCGTTATGTTATTGCTTACTTTACGCAGACTTTCAAATCTTATTATTGTTATCATTTAATAACACAACTATAATTCAACACTGGTAATTATCCTTTTAGAAATTAAAAATATGATCAGCTAAAATGATCTTAAAGACAACAATTATACTCTATTGCGAAGTTTGTTTCGGTCTAAAATGAAGAACAACCATAATTGGGAATTATAGATGTGATAGTTTAAACTCCAATCTTTTTTGCAGAGGAGTGTTTGAGGTTATTAGAAGAAATTGAATACTTTTATTTTTAAAAATGCCTGTATTTATAAAAAATGAAACCATCAACTTGGATAACATTCCCAGTGTCTCTGAGACAAATTGGCCGTATACAGATTGTTCTTAGATAAAATTGCAGTTGATATACTGAGTGCGGAGTCCTCTAAAAGCAATCATGGAGCACTTAAGCCTATACATGATGTATATGAAAGTTGGGCATCTTTTTATCCCCGACGATAACAGCACAGGCTGCAAACATCAAAGCAAATATTACATGCATATTCACATAGTTATACGACTAAAATCCCTGTAGGTTCATGCTGATGCGCTTGTTTTTGTACTTGCACTGCACCGATTTTCAAAACAAGGAAATAATGTACATTATGATTCAGTGTATGAAAGCTTCAGCATGCACATTAACTTTCGGTTTTGAGGGAACGCTTGAAATAAAATTAACGCTTAACTAGCACATCTCTAATTATGAAACTCCAGAGAAATGAGTATCCCTCTAAATAGACCTTATGCACGAGGAAGTCATTTTGATCGTGTTCCCTGAATCTATTTTATAAATTATAAACTGTTGAATGGGATGGTGCCAGACTATTTTATGATTGGAGTGCGTCCCAAGCCTCACTTTCAAATATGTTTTTTTTAATGTGGCTAAAAAATATTAGAGCATGTTTAATCACAAATTTTAAATTATTCATCAGAGCAGACGTATTGTAATGAACTTTTATTTCATTGCTGTCATGTCTACTCGTAATTTCCAAAATTGAAGAGTTTTACCTCGCTTGCTTTCAATTTAAAATGACCGACTCGTTAATAATTTGCGGGGAGACAACTTCAAGCGATTGAAATAAACCGAGGGCGGGGAGATTGTAGCCTTCTCTACGTCTGATGCGATCTTCCACAGCGCAACATCTTTAAAAAAAGCAATTTAGAGAGCCCATGTTCAACACGTCTTTTCTGTTCCATCAGAAAGCCTTGTACAAATAGTCGGCCTTTTACAGCCATCCCTGTAATAACTTGCCTAAAGGGCCTGGCTGTATAAGCATGTAAAAACAGACTCGGTCGCGGCACGACTAACTCGTCATTGCATGATCGGTCACGGTTCTGGCATAGTGGCACTTAACTTGACTTATTGCCAACCTAATGGCTGTCGCCTTCTGTTTGACAATGAGCTACAAATCGACCTGATTATTCCCTGTACTTGGTCGTTGAGGTTGAGTCAGTTATACAGGGTGACAAAAAAAAAACACCGAAACCCAAATGTCAGGACTTTTGTTTGATTGAAGTTCTGCATGTAGCACTTTCAAAATCTAGGATATGAAAGCCCAATTCATAAGCTTTCTTTTAGTACAAAAAATCATTCTAATCACTCATGTACTTTTCAAGTTACGGAATTTTAAACACAACCACCGTTTTAAGGTTCTGTCCACCGATCACAAAAAAAGATGTGCGTTCTTTCAGCAAAACGGAAACAATTCACACACATCCCTATGTGATTTCCTTTCGTTTTGCTGAAAGAGCACTGAACATTCTTTGTGATCCGTGGAATGACCCTTTAAACGGTGGCTGTGTTTAAATATTCCGTAACTTGAAAAGTACATAAGTGATTTGAATGATTCTTGTAATAAAAGAAAGCTTATGAATTGGGCTTTTATATCCTAGATTTTGAAAATGCCACATGCGGAACTTCCCTAAAACAATGGACCCAACATTTGGGTTTCGGGGTTTTTTGCTCATCCTGTAGACCATTATTGATTTGTTTTGATAATTGGTACACGTATTTATTTTCATTTGTCCAAAAAATTGGGTCTTTTAACATTTTTATTTTAGCCATTTTCTTTTAACTAAGTCATATGTTTCCGAGTGAATCAAAATTTATTGAAAAAGTGTGATTGCATCATAAAATAAAACGGTGTATTTTTGTTTGTTTGGCTGCTCAAAATGTTGCACTTGAAAATGTAGACGTATAAGCACAGTCTATTTTTCTGACCATGGAACCTTACGTGAGTTTGTACGTACTCGCGCTATGCTTAATGAGATGGCGACAGTGTTATATGAAAACAGACATTTGAGCCCAAAATGTGCCTGAGGCGATTATATATAGAGTTGCTCACTTCATGAAAACAAATCCCTGCATCATATCACTGCAAATTATACATCGACTTTCACAATACATTCTCCTTACCACCCGAATGGGCGTTCACTTCATCTCTCCGTTTCGGTGTTCAGTTTTGGAGGGTTTACTGGTATAAAGTTTGGCGATATTCAACTCTACATTTGGCCACTCTCATAAGAGTCTTGTAAACTCGATTTTGTGAGTGGCCATACATCTTGAGAACCGTTTTTAGTCCTAGCCACCGCAAAAGCTAAATCGGGCCACTTCCTAGGCATATTTTGGCACAACATAAATACAAAGTTGAAGCCTAGCATTGTTAATCTGTTGTAATATTTTCCGTGGTTTCCTCAATTCTTTACTATACCTCTCGAAATTCTCTTTGAATGATACAGCATTTGAATTGCCCGAATGGTGCCGCATGCAAGAAATGATCAACCTATGCAACATTTATTATTGCCGTGGGGAAAAATAACAACCGGGCCGCCAAAATAAAAAAAAACCCGCGAATTTCAATCTATGTTTTTCGAACCTGGCCTTAAGATTCTTCGCTGCTAAAAAAAAAAATCGTCGAGACGGAAAACACCAAAGACAATCTATGTTTGTGCGAACCCACACCTTCGCTGCTTAAGAAGGCAAGAAACGACATGCAGCAAGAAATCAATTTTTCTGTTGTCGAGTGGCGTTACCTTCGCAACGTTGGGTTTTAATTTGGTCTGGAGAGGCGGAAGAGAACGGTTAATTACAGCCGGCCTCTTCAACATTGTAATCAAATTGTTGTAATATGCAAATGAAGACAGGGAGGCGATGTTTTTCCCAGTAAAACCTGGCTTACCATGGTGCATGGTGCTCATTTTGGGATGGTGTATACGCGCACTATTTGCATGACTGTCGTAATTTTGCGTTCATGGGTGCCAGTAGCGTGCATGTTTCTCTGAAATAAAGCCTACAATTGATATATCTTTCTTGTTGAAAATGGAAATTATTTTAAGATGGACTCCATTTTAAAATTCTGTCACCTCCGAAATAACAGAACTGACACAGAGTTGTTTTTTTTTTTTTTTTTTTTTTTATATTTGCAAAAAGCAAACTCGTACATGGCCCTGAAATCAGCGCCATGGCCATGCAACTTTGCCTGGGACAAGCATGTAGTAATTGACTGTATTTTCCAACTGTGGTCCTGGGACGGTGACATATGACAATGACGGTTACAATTTGGTGAAAATCTGTTTACAAGTTGTATTAAGCTTGCAATCAACATTAGTGGATCTTGGGACGATATTTTTTCCATACCACACATTCGCTATGGGCGCATATTGAAGCACTTAGAGTTGCGATTCAGGTTATTGGACTATATTTTCCCTTGAAAAAAATCCTTCAAAACACAAATTGGCAAACGTAAAAATGTTGCTAATGACTAAGAAAAAACCTTTTCAAGAGAAAAAGAAGTAAAGAAAGAAAGAAAATTCACACCTCGTGGGATTCAAACTCATGACCTTGGACTGTACGGATGTACAGTCCAAGGTAGCGACACTAAGCAAGCCATCAGCTACACCCTCCTTTCAGGTTTATATTAATATTACAATGTGGAAATAGCTCACGACACTATTCTTTATCCGCTTCCCCTTTTGAAAAATAAAATACTTGAGCCCTCCCCCCTCCAAAAATGTGGTTCTTGATCCGCCTTAAAAAACAAGGAAGCCGTATTGTTTTCGTACGAACAAATCATGATTTAATTTTCACAACCTCGAAAAGTAAAGCATGATCATGTTTGTTTGTCACATCGATGCTTAGCATTTTTTAATGCCGTTTCCTCTCAATTCGCTTATAAAATGATATGCAGAGTCCTATAGCCACAGATCTTCCTGAAAATCTGTTAAATGCGCAACTGAATCTCGTGTAAAATACAAATAATTTTTTTGAAATGCTTTTACTTTAAGAAAAGCAAACCTGGACTAGAAAAAAGAGAGTTATTTAATTCCCCTGATGATTACTCCAATCTCTGTCCTGTAGGCTGAATCGATTAAAAAACAACTTCAGTTCATTCCAGACATCATGCATGCCCCAATCCTTGCCAAATCTCCGTATCTGTTCTGCTTGCGTGCTCGCACATAAATTTGTTTTCATTTGAAGAGGGTTTGGAGCGAGGGACACATGCCTTGTAAGACTCTTGCCGCTTGGGTTTTGCGCGCACAGAAATTAACTTTTCCATTATTCATTATGCAGTTTCTTTTTATCGATAGAATTGGAGGTTTTTTTCCTGTTCGTTCGGATGGAATGCTAATATATAATAAGGTATATGGTGACTTTATTTTCAAAAAACTCTCCGGAGATAATTTTTAGCATTTCCTCGACTGAATTTTCATCTAGTTCCTCCGTATTTTATGAAAACCAATGCATAATTTTATTTTTCGATATGGAGCGAATGTAATTTGCATAATTATCTCATTGCAGGTGCATAAAACAGAGTCACGTCGAATAAATGAATGCATGAACACCCCCTCCATCTACACTGTTAAAGGGAATATACATCATTTGCTTTTGCTGTAATTTTCAGAAATGGATGGAATTGGGGGGTTGGAAATATATAGCAAATATAGTTACACTGACTTTTTTGAGGTTGTGGGTTCAAATATGCTATAAAAACCAAGAAAAACAATCATTTTCCTGCAGTCTGGTTCCCTGACTCCATTTAAGAAGAAACAGAGCAGTTTACATACATTGGGGAATTGTAAAGTCAGGGAACCAGTCTAGCTGGCTTGTACCCGTTCATAGGTGTGTAATCGATTGCAAACAAGTGCGATGGTCAATTGGGGCCAGTATTTGGGAAAAAAAGCCAGTTTTTTTCCAACGCTGATCGGCCGATCAGCGTTGGAAATTGATACAAAAATACCACTTTTCTTGAAAATGACAGTATACTAGGTGCCATGATTTTACAGGATGCTTTACACTGTCATTCACTAACAGTCCAGCAAGGTATTTCAAAATGATTTGGTAGTTTTATTTTTTGATGTTTGCAAATGTTGTATTTTCCCTTTAAAACTCCTGGGTCAAAATGGACCCGGAATCTGCGTCTATATCTGCACACTGCACAGCCCTTTTCCGGGTCAGAATGTACTCTCTTTGATCAAAATGGACTTTTTCCGGGTCAAAAATGACATTTTTCTGGACTGACCTAGAAAAACGTCATTGTTTGACCCTGAAAAGGACTGTGCAGATATAGACTCATATCGGGGTCAATTTGACCCCGGAGTTTTTAGAGTGTAGACTTGCCCGATACAAGGTTATTTCGATTGTGCCAACACGTATATCAACTCATCGTACTTGGTTCTTTTCCCATTATTATGTCTTGAAGAGGAAAAATAATCATTAACGAATATTCAAGGAATGTTCACTACTGCACTATTCCTTCTCCACGAAATGTAAATAAATGCAAAAACAGCATATCAGACAGAAGTTTCTTGAACTTGTCCTGTTTTTACTCCAATTAAGTTTATATTTCAGTAATTTTGGCAAGTATCTTTTTTGCGTCATCGAAAATGATCCTTCCCCGCTCTCATAGCATTCATCAATGGGACAGTTTACCCATTCCTATTGGTCGAGAGCCCGTCACGTGCAGGGTGGTCTTAACGGTTGATATATAAAATACAAACTGCTTTTAAACACATTATTCCTGTGTACACGTAGGCCTATATACCACTGCGTTCCACGCCACATCCACATAGACATGGCAAGAGGGGTGTTTCACAAAACATGAAGTAAAATTTTAGTACAAAATTATTGGAAAATGGTGGATTTTTTTCACTCGTTTTGGCTTTTTGACCGAAAAGGTATTGATGCATGGGATTAAATATGTGCTTGGCCGGTTTTAAACGGGGTCTGGACGCTGATAATGGCCTGAGCCGTCGGCTCAGTCCATTATCAACTTCCAGGCCCCTAGCCGGTTATAAATGTACTTGTTTAAAACCGGCCAAGCTCATATTTAATCCCTTAGTAATTCGGAATCATATATAAACTGCATGATATGATCGTAACGGCACAGAACAGTCCCCATCTTGCTCCTAGACTGCAATTCAGTAAACGCAATGTGACGTCGCGTCATTACAAATGGAATCTGTCATTGGTCCTAAGGCGTTGGTTGATTTTTGCCTCCGAGTCCCCAGTCCGAAATCAGTTAACCTCTCTCGGGACATTACAATTTGCATCACTCACTTAAAACCGGAGTTGGAGTTTTATGCGCATTTAATTGCGTTTTATGCAATCACCGAACGCTGTGAACGTTAATTGCCTTTTCGTTCCAACCATCGGATGTTTCTAATAGTATTTGAATATAAAGATAGAGCGGAAGCTCAAGCTCAACCCAGCCGTTGAATCGCTTATCCTCGGGCAACCGTTCATTCTCTATCAAACTCTTGCATGATTAACTTGAATTTCATTTCATCGATTTTTTCCTCCCCTTCTTGGTATTTGCCCCTCCAGGATGATTTAGACCGGCAGGATCGGGCCCTCTTGCGAGTATCCTCCGACCTTTTGGACACCATAGCAGCCCTAAAGGAGGCCCACGAGCTGTCCCTGAAGCACCGGCCGTGGACGAGCTCCGCCGTACGGGGTGATGAGCATGGCACTGTTAATACGGGGACTGGGCCAGCAGGGACCGCGACGATAGAGGGAGGCAGTACGGGTCTCTGGACATGCACGACGGAGAAAAGCAGCTGAGAGATACCTGAGACTGTGCTTGTATGTCTGTTATCGGACTCCGTGGACCCCGAAAGAAACATATTTCTTGCCAGTAGACATTCAGTAACAAAATTATCGCTGTTGTATAGTTATTAAAGGGCCCTCAGTAATAGCAGTTTTTAACTGATGTGGCTACCCTGTCTAAATAAAACTATAAATAAATAAAGGGCCCATGTATGTCCTTTTAATATGCAGTCCAGGGAAATGCACCTTTGTGTCCCATTTAACCTTATTTTCAATTTTAATTTTGCCATTTTTTAGGGCATTTTGGTACCATTTTGGTTTTTATGCTTATGTCATTTCAGGCAGAAAACTCAACATTACAGTTATTTCAGCATCAACGTTTGCCATAATTTTGGATATTGTGCCGTAGTAAAGTTTCTTTTCTTCGGTGATTCGTTGATGTTTCAGTACATGACACTAGGTCAATAAGCAAATTTATCCCACAAATGTTTCAATGAGCAACTTTTGTGCTCACAATTTTAACAGAAAGCCCCTTGCTTAAGTCTCAATTTGGCTCAAAAAATAACTCAGATAACTGCATAGACCCTTCGACCAAATGGGACTAGCTTTCATTAAAGGCGTGTCTAGTTTTTTTCCCCCTGAAAATACGTTGGTGTCTAGACGGATCTTCATAGCATCGGCACTTTGGGCGTGATCCCTGACTACGTGGCATATACTGGTTTATGGCTTCTGACCAGCGCCACGTGAACAAAGACATTGGCATTATGGGGAACCGCCAACCTAGGGCTGGATAGCTCAGGTGGTGGAGCACCGGAACAGCAATTTGGAGGTCGCAAGTTCAAACCCGCTCCAGTCAATCCTTTGCTCAACCTGAAAATGGTCCTTTTTTCCAGAATGAATAGTAACACTATACGGCATGACAGCACAATTTTGCAGTGCGGCTTTTTCTTTCAATTCAATCTTTTGTAAATCATATACGATGTAAATATTTACAAATGTCTATAATAAACACAAGTTGTGATCAATGTAAATGCGATCAAAATTACATTTAGTACCGGTACTTAAGTTTCTGCAGTGCGGCCGACGTTTTTCGACATCTCATTGTCTGCGTTTCAATAAGGTAGCCTATATAGAAACGATTGCAATTTGGAACCAAATTCTTCAGTGTGACGTGCGTTTTTCATATGCAACAATCAAGCAGATATTGATCATACTATACAGTCATGACTGACTTATATGAAGAAAAAAGAAAACTAGATTCACTAAACGCACACACTAAAACAACAGCATTTAATTTTAGATATATTTATCCTGTTGAATTCGTACGGAAATTTACACCAGTGCTGAAACAGAATTCTCAGAATACCTCAAAATGTGCAATAACAAGTTATAAAGTGGTAATAACATTGATGTGCAAACGTTTTTATGATGAATATCTGCAATTTGTGTATACAGTAATTTGGCTTGATCGTGCGGCGAATAAAAGGACCTAGTTTGGTCAATAAATTCAATGGAAAGTTTGTCTCTTTTGTCTGTTTCTTACCCTTTCAGTTGACAACATTATTCGTTGTTGTTTTGGAGAATGTTTCGAATGACATCTACTGTATATACGCATTTCCAGCAGTAAACAAAATGACTATATCCGGAAGCTGTGTCTTGTGCACTATCTTTGAGCAGAGCGGCTGTTGACAGACTAGTCCATGCCTTCCTGTTGTAGTCGTCTCTCGTGCAATCTAGTCTCGTGTTCATTGAAGAAAATTGTCAAATTTAGCTGTGCATATCGTGAGGCGTGCTGTTTTAATACCGAGTAAATCGCCGAATCCGCGGTACAAGGTGATATTAAAAATGTTTAAACGTGTACTTGAAGTTGTGTATACCAGTGCTTATCTCATCATTCTGTCAATGGTCGAATGGAGCTTTTATCCAATCATGCAAAATTCTCAACCAAAAGCAGTGGCGTAACTGGGGGGGGGGGGGGGATCCCTCACCGGGGTATGTGATCTCTCCTCCAGACCACCCATTCTCCTAAAATGTGCCTTTTTAAAACTTATTGAGTACCCCTTTCCCTCCTCTCCCCTCCATAAAAGTGCCCCCCCCTCCCATGCAAATCGAACCTCAGTTACGCCACTCGAGCCAAGATATTATTCATGGTTCGAAATAGTAGCACTTCTCATCCATCATCATCAATTTCTTCTCTTCCTGGGAGTTGGTGATGTTATTCAACTGGCAGATCGAACCTTCCCGACTTTCCCAGGCGCGCAGATTGAAGGAGCAGCATCCAGGCTCATCACGGCACGCCGCACCGCACGCCACCACACCCTCGGCCGGGAACTCCTTGATGACATGGCTGTCGGTCAGGCAGGGTGACGGCACAAAACGGCCGTTGGCTCCGGCCTCCATGCAGTACCTCCCCGGCAGGGCCAGCAACACATCAGAGCCCTCACAGATCACGAACTTCATCTCAGAGCAGCTATTATCGTCGTAGAAACCGAACCAGTGACCCAACATGGCCAGACAATCGGTGTTCCCGTTGTTGTCGTACTTTTTATCCGGGGTCCAGTAGAAACAGCCACACCTACGCCCTGCTTCGTGAGGATAGATCCACTTGCCCTGTTCCTCATCATCACGACAGCCATTCCAAAAATCTCCGAACGTTTCCGAGATGAACAAGACATCCACGGAGTCGGGAACCGCCGGCTCATCTTCAATCCACGCCATTTCTTCAGTCAGTTGTTGGTAGCACGAGCCGGCGAATCTCTCCTGGCTGGGTTGGCATGCCTCGGCGTAAACACACGCACACGCGACAGCAATACTCAGCCAAATCATCTTCATAGCGTGACGCACCATTGCGATGCGACTTATCATTGTGATGTATCGGATACTGAGGAAAATGTTGAAAATCGATGGGTAAACGTACGTACGTGGTTGTCAATAAGAGTCACAATCAACAAAAGAGACAGTTTTTAATCCAATTTCCAACTTTTACAACTGAATTTAGACCGTCAGCAACTTCAGCAACGATACAAAACAAGACGAATTCGATGTCTGTTTCCAGAAGAAGATAGCAAGTTCCTGCGTCACAAGTACAGATGGGCATATAATGCATTTAATGCTGCTTTGTTTCCCAATCCCAATTATAGTAATTGCCGGACCCAGGTGCAGAGCGCGCGGGTTAGCTGACGTAGGCTTTAGGCTCTCGTCTGAGACTGGGTTCCACAACTTTTAAGGATGGTCTGAAGTCGTAAGGTATCACTAACTGTCTTAGCCTACTGTTGGTAGCATTAGGGAAGGACCATGTCTCAAGTTGTCGCAGACATGTCAAAGTGAGTCCAAACAGACAAAGGACGGATTATTGTTATAATAATACTTAGGCCTTTAGCCATTTAGCTGATAACTGGCACACGTACGGAGTTTCGCATTAACGCGATTGGTTTGCATAATTCAAAACAAATCCTTTCAACCAAATTGCAGCTAAGTGCATCAAAGATATACAAAAGTTACATCTTTTGGTGCAGCAAAGCCAACGAGTAAAAGGGATTTTTTTTTATTCCCCGTATACAGGAGTTGTCATAGTAACAGAAATGGTTGACGGCAACTTCCACGATTAAGCTCATTTTCTCCTCTCATAACACAATGCACGTTAAGCCATTAGCAAGTTAAGTAATTAGGCGCAGTAGATGGCCATTACGGACGTGAATCATTCCTTACACGATACCATATTTGACAAGCCTGCATTTTCATGCAGTGCCAGTTGGGCCTGGGGCGGGATAATCAGGGGTTGGTACAGCGCCACCTGGAGTCAGATGGTCTGAAGGCCCCCTCCCGTCCGCTCGTACGTAGGCCTGTAGCCTGGAATCCTGGGCAATAATGTACTATAAGAGGGATGGAGCTACCAGTTGTATCTCTCAGGACAAATTGACAATACCACCATCCGATAAGCACCCTAACAGCACACACAAAGAGCACACATGGAATTGCAACCCACCCTCTCCAGGACAGCAGCAATGCTTTTAGGAGAGTACTCTAATGCAAGATACACTCACACGGCCCCTTCGATGGAGAAATCATTATGCACGCTAAAGACCCGCCCCGTGACATTAGATTATCATGAAATAACACCAAATTTTCGCCATTGAAGGGGGCCTTCGTGACAGAATTGTTAGCGTGCTCAGATCTGCCTATGCACGCCGATTAAATAAAACAAATAATATGCATGTAGCTCCAAAAACAGGTTCATCGGCGCCTTGGGGTATCATCCCTACCCTATCCTCTCCCTCCGATCCCCTGCTCAGTTCCCGCGGTCTCAGAATACATCTTTTTGATAAAACAGTGTTTTGGGTATGGATGACAAACAAGCAATACAGTTTATGCACAAACCTATGGGGAAAGTGAATCATTTTAAGCTTTAAATTATTCATATTCAATATTTTAAATCATTCATATTCAATATTATATCCAATATTAACTGCTCATCGATTAATGCAAAGAATATATCAAATAGTATTTGCAGTGGCGTAGCACGGCCATTTTTATGGGGGGGGGGGGGGGGTGGGGGGGGGGTGAAAAGGGCACTTGCACATCCTTCGTGAAATGTAAGCACGTTTTCCCCAGACGCGTTGGCTCTGTTAAATAAAAAAACGCGGGGGGGGGGGCTGGTACTGTCGATGGGGGCGCTTTTCAAAACCGACCATTAGTCACGCTAACGGACAGTATATGGGCCTTTTTAGGGCGATACGTGCGTGAAATTAAAAAAAAAGGCACGAGAACGGCCGATGGTACCAAAAATGGCACCAATTCTTTTTTTAAAAGGGCACTTGTTCACAAAAAAGGGCACTCCTTAAAAAAGGCACTCCTTACCAAATATGAGGGGGGGGGGGGGTAATCAATGGTGAAAAAAGTGCATTTCAATTGAAAAGGGCAGTCTTTTGAAAATATCGGGGGAGGGGAAATATCCCCTTTAACACCCCCTCCCGCGGCTACGCCTATGATTTGTAAATAAAAAGCATTTTTTAAAACTTTAGAAATAAAAGAATCATGAAATGACTTTCCATGTATCACTCATCAGGCCCACTGGGACCGAACGATTGTGATTGGTCAGCAGATGCGCGAGCTTGACTATCTCGATTCTGATTGGTCAATATTGGCAGGCCAATTATTCATATTCATGAGTAATACAACTGGTGTCAAAAAAGGGATTCCCCTTAACTTTTTAAAATTTGATTATATCTTTTAAAAAATGATTTTAAAATTGATTAGATTTCAAATTGCGAATGCAACAATGTGTGAAAAGATGATCACTAAATTCTTGAATTATGGGGAGGAATCAAATGAAAGTTTAAACTATAGTTAACAGCCCTACAGGCTTGTGCACAAATGTCCTTGTTTGTTTGTCATCCATACACAAGATACCTTGGGAATATCGAAAAGGTATTTCCCGCTACACCCGGGGCCGTGCATGCAGCTCTGGCTATGGTCCCAGGACAGAACAGCGCCCTCACTTTTTTTATATTGAAAAGTGTGTGAATAACCCCCTCACTCGGTGGCTATACTACGAGGGGTTGGAAATAATTAGAACTAAAAATCACCTTTTTTTGCTTTTTTGAGATCGTTTGATCGAAAAACAGTTAAGCACTCAGGGAACAAAATATAAAATTAAGTTACCTTAGTCAAGCATTGCTGCATGTCAACTTTGAAACTCACTGAAATGAAATGTAAATATGAGGCCTTTACATGTTCAAAATTAATTGATAAAAGGCTGGTAATATGACTTGAAACAATAATGTGAGTAGTAAAAAATCAATCTTATCTTTAAAAAAAAGAAAGATCGAAAGATATACGCAGCCTAGCTAGCTGGCCGGTGTGACAGGTAATTCTGTCCCCCCTGGTAAATGTGTCCCCCGGACACATTTACCGGCTCGTGACCCGGTAAATGTGTCCGGGGGACACCCGACTTATGTGGTCTTTATTGACTTGTCTGTCTCATATGTCGCTGGCGTCACATCGGCTCCGGCTAAAAGTGCCGTAGTCAGATAAGGTCTTGGTCCCTTGGACTTCTGGCCCTTCACGACCGATCCCGGTCTCAAATCAGCGAAAATGTTGCTCAAAAATGCATCGCAATTGCGGATCAACCTCTCGGGTTATTTTCTTTCGCGGGGATCCCTCTCTCTTTCATCACATGACTACGGCACTTATTTACATTACAAATGAACCCCACGCCTATAGCTCAGAATACCGATAGCTGATTCAATGACTCCAACCTCGAACACGATGTTCAAATAATTATCTTTTGCTAAGAAAATATTAGTTAAAACATGGAGGAAAGTGGTAAGAAATTGCTTCAGATCACACCACAGAACATCTAGAATCCAAATTTTATGCGGGGCCCTTAAGCGGGCCCCGAACCCCCACGCCATAAAGGGCTTCGCGCTCGCATCAGTTCTGATCAAGGTATGTCCCCCCCCCCCACTTTTGAGAAGCGATTGACGCCCCTACATGATGCCCCCCTTGAAATGTTCCAGCCCCCCCCCCCCCCCCCCCCCCCCCCAGCGCCCCCCTCCCCCCCCCCCCCCCCCCCCCTGAAAAATTCCTGGCTACGCCACTGAGCAAGATGCTTTATGCAAAGATCATAGGCCACTTTCTTCACAAGATTCTGTGAAGCTCACCAGCAGACAGAGCATAGCGAAATCCTCGAATGAGCACAGTTCACCAGTCGCAAGCAAAGATCCTATAGCGCCGCTTGGATCTTTGGTCGCAAGAGGGCCTCTTACCGATGTGCACTGAGTAGCCTATAGTTTTGGAGTTGGCTTTGTGACTTAATTTTTTTTTCACTTCAAACCACGGAAGAAGATACGGAAGTCAGGAACTTCAACAAAAGCTACCATCTTTATAAATTGCGGTTTCATATCAAAACAGAAGGCAAATAATTATTGGACGCAAGGGTCCAGATCAGGGGCGGAGCTTCTTGACTTTTGAGTGATTTCAGGATTATTTTCATCATGATCATATACATAGCAAGGAACTAGTCTCACTAACTGGGGCGCTAGAACTCCTTTTTTGACATTAATTTTGGGATGTTGGTCTGTCGCTAGTACGCGCGTACGACAGACCAACATCCCAAATGTAAAAAAAAAGTTCTAGCGCCCCAGTTAGTGGGACGAGCAAGGAACAGATTTCATGAACAACAAATCCAAAAGTTCTCCTTTTGTTAATCCAATTTCCAAATTCTAACCATATTTTTTGCGAGTATAATGTATGCGCATTAGGTTTACGTTTACATGTATTATGTTTGCATCCAAATTTGGCGCTTGTTCGTGCACACATCGCTTTCTTTGACATTACAACGATGTTCCCGGTTGCTGGGCGTACGTTCATTCGTACCGTGGGCGGTTCAAGGACCAATGAACTTGAATTGATCTGAATGGATCCCTGTCTCCGTATGTGTGCCAGTGAATGAGGTCTCGACGGTGGATCCAGTCTCTTTATCAATCAATCAAACACAATGGAAATCGCATAATGACGTCAAATTCTCCGATACGATTCTGCTGAATCATGCGATTGTCAGGTCGCTGGCCGTACGAAGCCCGCAGTGTTGGTTTATCCCATTGATCAATTGTGTTATTGTAATGGCGTCAATGTGCCAAAATAGACCAATCAAAAATGGTCTTACTTGAGCGTTTGATCATGGTTTGATTCACGACCTTGTCCGATATCGCGCGTGTGTACTAATGCTCGTACACAAAAATCTACGTCCCGCGCGACGACGTTTGTGGCGTTTTGTGGATGGAGGACTTGGAATATTTCGTAACAGAATATCCGGAAGCTGAAACAAATGGGTTATGGAAACAGCATTTTTTAAGAAGAACTGATTTTTGTAACAGAAATGTCACGATACGTGATGTCAGGTAAGAAATTGTGTTGTCAATCTAGTTCATGTAGTTTGTCAAACATGTCAAACTTTAGCATGTTTAGCCTGGTATCCTGTCATGCCTGTAAAGGCTGTATAGGAACTGCTCATGATTTTCTTGCCCTTGTGCAATGTGTCAAGCTAAGGAAAGATTCCCATATCTGTAAAGATTCCCATATCTGGCCATATTTTTCCCATGATAAATGACCTATCGGCCATCAGAAAGTGATCATAATATGTCCTAAAAAGTCAAAATTAGCACGAACAAATTTTTAATTTTTACTGAGAAAACACTTAAAAATTTTCAGACCAGTCCCATAGGGTTTGTGTACAGGGTGACAAGTGATGGCCAGATATGGGAATCTTTCCCAAGCGAAAGAAGTCATGTACGTTGCCAATATGGTAAGTAGCTTATAAACATGACATTTCCATACGAACATGACGAACAGACGACAGATGTTTGGGTAATCCTTACTTTTGGGACCCCGTTCCTGTATAGGAAGGGAAAGACTCACCAAAACAGTTGACTAAATGACACTCAAAATTGACGTCCGAGTACGGAACTTTTCCCACACCGTCTTGAATATCAGCAGGTTTAATTTTGTGGAAAGAGGGCAGGGCTTTGATTTATGAGGGAAATTCAGGGGTAAAAGACGACGATGACAACCAGAAAACAGACTCAAAAACCAAGATGGCAAACATGAAAGCTCGATGCGATGAAAGCTCGATGCTGATTGGCTGATAAAAAATAAACATTCTTGTTTATTTTTAGTCTGGTTCCCAGACCAAAATATTCAGGAATAGACAGAATCTTTTGGTCTGAGAACCAGACTAACTTGTTTATTTTAAATCTGGTTCCCAGACCAAAAGATTCAGGAGTAGTCAGAATCTTTTGGTCTGGGAACCAGACTAAACTATTTTTTTAGCAGCCAATCAGCATCGGGCTTTCATTATGTAGGGCTTTCACGCTTGTGAGAACTTCAACATGCACGTCTGACTGCAAAAAAGGTAGGAAAGTCACATTTTCTTCGAAAGTGCTTTCAAAACTACAACTAACATGAGTTTTATGAAGAAAAAAGACTGAGCCTGCAAAAGTCACTTTGGTACTGGACAGTCATCTGCAAAAGTCAGTTTTGAGCAGAACTTGTAAAAATAGAGGTGTCCTAAAAGTGAGGATTACCGATGTTTGCTTGTTTCAAACTTTATCAAACATGTCAAAATTCAAAGGCCTTTCTTTTTAATTTCAAAGGCCTAGTGTTTGCTAACATATTAAACATTACAAAAATTGTACTTGTTCTATTTTGTAGGAAGTTTTGTTTTTAATGACTCTATTTTTATAAATTATGTTTTAATCAAATCATTCTGTTTATTTCAGTAGATTTCATTTTCTTCTTTATCAGTGGCTTTGTAGGATCATTAGGCCTGAGTATGGTTTTTTAAAGGATAATGTACATGTAGTAATTTCTGGGGCTAAACTCAGTCTTTCTTCGGCTGGGACATCTCTGACAGGCTGTCATTGTCAAGGGATTCTTGCAAGTCTCAGGAAGTAATAACTTCCCTTATCTGAACGGAACCTAAAACCGACGAATAGTCTAAACTTGTAAGCGTTTTCTGTAAGTAACTTGTTCTCAGTTTGTCTCCTTGTCGTGAAGTTCTGCACAGCGTGCAAAAGACGGGGTCAGAAGGCATCGGGAATCATATTGCCCATGGGCAGTACCGCAGGCCAGTCCATACTGGAAAACGGGGGTGGTTCCCAAGCCCAAGTTTACGACAATTAGGCCTAATGTCTGAGAATTGGTTACAGCATCCAAATATCCTGACGTACTACACTGTACATGTAGGTCAGGGAACTAGACGGCTGCCGTAATGATATCCACTGCGTACAAAATGAAAATAAAATTGAAATAAGTTGTCCCGGTTGTCCTACATTTAATTGCGGAATATTTTATCTTTTTCTGATTCCTGGCTTTGGATTTGGAAGATAGTAAAGTCTGAAATTTCATTAGGTCTGATCATGTCTCATGAATACAAAGACACAACGACAATGAAAGCATAGAACTGGATGAAGATTCATCGCAGTAAACATTTCTAAGTCCCCCAAAACACTGGGCATGTTCGGTGCTGTGCTGGTCAAAGAGCTGAAATCAGGGACCGGTTCACAGTCAAATATAGGCCTACACTGCCATTTTGGAGAGACAAAAAAGTCTAATCCACCTGGAAAAATGATACGCAGTGAATGCTTGTGTCACATTAATTTGATTATATTTTTGGATTTATTATGTATTAGGCCGGCGCCGATGTTGATAGGGCTCGGGCTCAACGCTATTTTTATAGAGGCTTTCTGGAGCTCTGAGTGGCTGATAGATAAATGGGGTATATTGGCTGAACTAACATTAATATGTCATTGGTTTACTTTTTACTAGTTTTTACTAATTTTCTAGTTGAGTAGTTTGCCGGAGTAATCAAAGACAACCTCTGGCAAACTGCTTGTACGTGTAACATTTAATAAAAGAAAACCAGTGTTGGCAGCCAGCCAAATATCCACTGCCTTTATGTTAAGCCATGTATGAAAAAATATTCAGCTTTTTGTCCCAGCCTGCTTGCTTTTTTTTTTTTTTTAAATTCATACATGTCTTTGCAATATATGTTGCACATAATTATGTTGTCAGTACAGTCCGTCCTGATTTGAAAATCACAGGCGTGTGGAAAAAGGTACATCTGGTGTGTGATTCTGCGGTCCTGGGAAGTTCAGGCATGTATGTATTCACACTTCTCGGGAAGCCTTAAGGTGTGCTATGGCGTGGTGGTGCGATGGCACACTTCAAATCAGAGGGACTGCAGTACCTGGCATGTTGTCTTTTTATGGAAAGCGTTCCATACGTGGACATCAATTGACACCCTGTGCACAAACCCTATGAGACTGGTCTGAAATATTCCAAGTGTTTTCTCAGTAAATGCTTCAATATTTTCCCTGCTAAATTTGGACTTTTTAGGACATGTTATCGCTTTCTGATGACTGATGGGTAACTGCAGGGAAAAAATAGTGATGTCATACATACTTACGTGTATAGAATTCTTTCCCTTTTGATATGTTTCCAACAATATTATAGCTATGTTGAAAGGGTTTGGGCTCCAAGGAGCACAAATTTGTATCAGCAAAATAGTCGAGAAAATTGAAGAGTCCATCCGCCGTCTTGGAAAATCTGCCATCTTGGGGAGAACAAAAAACACCCACCTCCTTAAGTTTTTTTCAGAAAGGCTGGACGAGAAACTTCTTATTCTTTTTTACTTGGCCTCATCTTTTGTCAGCCAGAGCTGTAAATTCTGTTTTTGTTTTTAGTTTCAGCTTTTTGGGGGGGGGGGGGGGGGGGCGGAGAGGGAAGGCGGAGCATAAACTCACATACACAAACTACAATGTACGTAAACGAGTACAATCAGGCATGCAACTTTTCCTCGGATCTGCTGATTGCCTCGTTTTTTACTTCTCATCAATGCCATTACAAATTGAAAAAAACTGTACAAAGTCTTGTGTGGTTTGGGGTTTCCTCGTTTTTTCTAAATTCCCGGTTGCATGCCTGGCACAATGTGTATCCAACGGTGGCATATCTTTGAAAGTGTATTTTGTACTTCAGGATACATGTGATTTTGAAACACTTACACAATTCCTTATCGCTTTTTGATAGAATACATGTTTTTTGTTCTCTTCTCTGTTGCTACACTGTTGTTTGACAGGTGCTTTGTGCACGTATTTGCTGAACAAACTTGTTGGTGGTTAGTAAATTTGTGCGCTAAACAGCTCCGTGTAATTGACCCGTTTAATGGCAGAAACTTACACGTGCTTAGCAGACTAGCAGTGCCAGGAAAGTTTCACCTTTGATACATAATGAGGATTAAACTTTGGCCCTTCAGCTTTCCACCCACCCCTTCGAAACATCAAAACCAGGTGGTTTTTGCTTTTGGCAGTTTTTCTAATTGATGCACGTGTTCTAAAGCTCCGATGTGTTGGAGCAGGACACAGAATTTTATCACCAGGAACTCCTCTTAGTAATACCCCCTTCCCCCTCCCCTTCCCCCCCCCCTCCCTATGCCCCCTGTGGTTTTATCTTTTGCAGTGTAGGGGGAAGGGGTACAGGGAATTAGTTGATCAACAGTGCCATGACTCACAGTGAGGCTGCATAATATCTACTCCAAGTTCAACTGGGAATTTGTATTATCTTGAAAAGGAAGGGCCGATATATTTTTAGTTTTAGTCATTCGAAACGCATCATCTTTTCGTTTGGTTTGTTTTATTTGTGTAAAGTTGACAGGGCAAATAGCCAAAATTGCTGTCAACTTTTAAAAAAAAATTGACTGGAACCCTCGTGACATGCAGTTTGTGAGTCCATCAGTTGACGACGTGACGTGCGCGTGTGGGGGGATGACTCGGGGTATTCAACCCTCGCTTCAGGCCAGAGATTTCTAAATATCATCACCTTGAACTCGTTTGGGTATAACTGAGGATCCATGGATCCCAAAAGGACTGTAATGTGATTTAGTGTTTACAGCACATTAAGAGGAGTGATGAAAACGATATGAAGCAGTTCTGTCAAATTTACAATCCCACTGAAAATCTCACGGATTGAAAAAGTAAAACTCCAAAATAATGACAAAGACTGTACCGAACCATTTACTATAATAAGGAACATACCTTTTGACTCTTCAAATTTTATGTTCAACTGTACTGTACAGAGCATTGTACTGTACAGAGCAAGTTCCATTGTACGGTGAAATGTAATTTATAGAGTTACATGAGGACTATGTACATGCATTATCTTGGGAAAACATGAATACTTCCCCTTTTTTGGGTCAGTGAAAATATTGCTCTTCATATTAGGAATAAATTCAAAAAGGGTTGTGGCACTTTTATTTCACACAGTTCAGAGGGATGAACAAAATTATGCAAAAATGAAAAGAAAACATTTTCATGACATTCAGTTCACAGGCCTCCATTAAAAAGAC